ATTCGAACAGAAATTGCTGCCTCTACGGATAATTCGAAGCGCGCGCCGCCGAGTGTCATCATCGTCAAACACTAGTGGAAGCTTTTACGGTCGAACGATAGGTGGCACGACCAGTTTTTTTTAGCTTTAAGTGGCCTCTGAGCGAAGGGCGAGCAAAGTATGGCCTCTAAAATCTAGGGAGCAATTTTTTTTTTTCGTAGCTCTCCCGCTATCTCAGCGCCTGGCGCCACTTGTACGCGGGACCCACGGGACGCTGAAGAGTCGGCGGAGTAGTCCTAGCAGTCCTAGGCCGCTCCCGGCAGCGTCACTTTGTTCCTCGAGCACGTTGTTCGTTCACGCCGTCAAGCCGTCTTATTCCGCATCGAAGTTGCAAGATGCCGCGGGGAAACTACTGCGCGAAGACTGTCAAGGAGAAGGTGGAGATTTTGCGAAAGGTTGACCAAGGGAACTCGAGCAAATACGAAATTGCGAGGAAGCACGGCATACCTCCGAGCACGTTGTCAACCTACATACGCAACAAGACGGCCATTGAAAACGCCTATGAAGCCGAGGATTTTGGCGCCAGTCGAAAAAGGCTAAGGACAGCGAAGTTCCCGGAACTGGAGTCAGCTTTGATTATCTGGTTTAAAGAAATGAGAGCCCAGAGTATCGCATTGAGCGGCCCTATCATCGTGGCCAAGGCAGCCGATTTCGCCCTGCGCTTGGACATTGAAGACTTTGTCGCCTCCGAGGGATGGTTTCATCGTTTCAGGGAGCGGCACAATCTCGTATTCCGCACGTTATCCGGCGAGGCAAAGGAAGTGGACGCCGAAACATGCGCTACTTGGAGAAGCGACACCCTGCAGCAGTACTTGGACAGCTACTCACCACAGGATGTGTTTAACGCTGACGAGACAGCGTTATTTTTCAAGTTGCAGCCAGACAAGACGATCACCTACAAGGGAGACAGCTGTGCCGGCGGCAAGTGCAGCAAAGAGCGTGTCACTGTTCTGGTCGCCACAAATATGACCGGTACGGAAAAGGTCCCCCTTTTTGTGATTGGCAAAGCACTCGAGCCACGGTGCTTCAAAAACATTCGCTCACTGCCGACATAGTACGCCGCAAACAAGAAAGCCTGGATGACAGGTGACCTATTCAGGAAGTGGCTACTGAAATTCGACAGGCGAATGGAACTGGGCGGCAGACGCGTTCTTCTTGTCGTCGACAGCTGTTCGGTGCACAAAGTCGACGTTGAGCTGAGAGCAACTAAGTTGGTGTTCCTTCCGGCAAATACGACTGCGGCCCTACAGCCAATGGACCAGGGTGTGATAAGGAACATTAAGTGCTTTTATAGGAGTCACGTGCTGGAGAGAATGATTTTGTGCGCGGGTGACAGGAAGGACTTCGGCATTACGCTGCTCACTGCCATGCACATGTTGGTGCGCGCATGGGAACAGGTGACCGCGACCACAATCGCAAACTGTTTCAGCCACAGTGGATTTGCAGCTGGAAGTGCGCAGGATAGTTGTGACGTCGACGTGGATGGGGCTGAGGAGCTCATGCCAGCGGCGTTGCGTGACACTCTTCGGGGCGTACGTTTTGCCGATTATGTTGAAGTTGACACAGGTGCATCGGTGTGTGGTGCCCTGACTGATGAGGACATTATCGCTCAAGTAGCCAGTGCGCAGCCTGATGCTGAAGAGCCAGAAGGTGAGGAAGACGAAAATGACGAAGCGCCTGTGCGCCCGTCAGCTTCTGCGGTGATGGAGGCACTTAATGTGGCGCGTCTCTTCCTCAGCTTTGAAGAGGGTGAAGAGGATTTTCTGCGCCGCGTCCGCGCGCTGGAACAGGGAGCCGCAGCTGTGGCATTCAGAGAAAAGAAGCAGATGGTCATCACTGAGTTTTATGGCCAATAAATATTTTTCGTGCCCCCACCCCCGAAATCCACCCATTTTTGCTCACTTTCATTATTTCAAATTTGTTTAATTCGAAATTGCTCAGCGTTCCCATGGAATTCGAATTAACGAGCTTTTACTGTATATACATGCATACCAACGCATGTGCGAGGGTTGTGCGTACGTAGCATGCATGTATGCATGTTCATGCATATATATATCATGTCCGTGCATTTGTAGCACGTGTGATGTGCGTGCTTATATCTGCTTTGAATATCTACTGCCAGTGTGAACAAGCGAGTGTTCTGAAGCACATGACCTTATTCATTAGAAACTTGACAATCACAAATGAAAAGAAAGGAGCATTCCTAATAAAATCGAAACGATTTGCCTTATCTCAGAATACACTGGCCCAGGCATACCTCTGTTTTGTAATCAAGTGAACGGCATGCGTATTCAGTTTTTGACAGGACAATGGAACTCAATTAGATACATGCAATTATCAGCACGAGCCGCAGTGTAGTTACCTCGAAAATTATAAAGGCCTTGCCTGCAGCAGTGTAGCAAGGCAGCGCAAAAGTGCTAGCACTTTTTGGAGAGACCCGGAGCAGTTGCCTTCATCAGTTGCCTTCAGGAGCAGTTGCCTTCATCAAACTTGGGCTCGCTAGACAGGTTCTTCAACTTGAAGTAAATGCGATGCCGGTTTGCGCGCACAGTGCCACTATTTCTGCTGTTTGGAGAGTAAAATCCTTTATGCCAATAAGAATTAGGGGTCCGCAGCCAGCTACCTTTCACGTTCAACGAAGAACGCGAACCGCCCCGCCGTGGTGGTCTAGGGGCTAAGGTACTCGGCTGCTGACCCGCAGGTCGCGGGATCGAATCCCGGCTGCGGCGGCTGCATTTCCGATGGAGGCGGAAATGTAGGCCCGTGTGCTCAGATTTGGGTGCACGTTAAAAAATCCCAGGTGGTCGAAATTTCCGGAGCCCTCCACTACGGCGTCTCTCATAATCATATGGTGGTTTTGGGACGTTAAACCCCACATATCAATTATCAAGAAGAACGCGAACCGATGCGGCAATCAAATAGCTTCAAAACAGCGCCAAGCAAAAGTGCCGCGTTGACCCTGTTAAGCGCAGCCATCTTTGTTTTTTCTACCAGTGTTGCCAGTACATGCAGCATTTTCTGGAGTCGCGAATTGTTATCAGGGACAACGACGCTTAGTTGCAATGTGCCACAGTCAAAAATACCAACCTGCCATAAAGCCACTACCCAGAGCTGTGGCAGCTCATTTCACAATTGCCAGTGCATTACACGGGCCTCAAGTATTTTCAATGGAGGCGAAAATGCTTGAGGCCCGTGTACTTAGATTTAGGTGCACATTAAGGAACTCCAGGTTGTTGAAATTTCCTGAGCCTTCCACTACAGCATGCCTTATAATCAGATGGTGGTTTTCAGACGTCAAACATTTTAAATGTAATGAAATGCACGTTGCCCTCAATTGATTGAAAGGTTTATACAATTAATCTTGACCAATTAACAAAAATATAAAAATGTCCTAATGAGCAACACAACAGCAAGGCCTGAGTTGTCAGTTTAATTAAGTTGTGGTTAACCCCTCATTTTTAAAACCATAGTTCTTGTTCCATAAAACTCCCTGTCAATACGTACAGCTTACTCATTCTTAATAACTCCACATCATGCCAACCCTAGTTCTTTCTAAGCACAAAGAGATATGTATTAGAAAATGCCCATAAAACATTTTTTATTTATTTACAGTCATCTAGCTGACTGTCCATTACTTACTGGAATCAGCCACTGGAATGCAAGACTTTCTCGAAAATTCTGAAAACAGTTTTCCCACTACACTTTAACATAACTCTGATATCTCAGCTTTCAAGTGCCAAAACTGCAATGTGATTATTAGGCATGCCATAGTGGAGGGCTCCAGAAATTTCGACTATCTGGTGTTCTTAACATGTACTGACATAGCACAGCACACGGGCCTCCAGAATTTCACTTCCATTGAACTGCGATTGACATGAAGGGGGTTTAAACACAAGACTTTCAGGTCAGTAGTCGAGCTGTAATCACTAAAATTGTATACTTAATGTGAATTAAGGAGTCACTTCGATTTATTTTGCCAAATGTAAATGCAAGGCGAGGATTGTCACTGCCTCTATTCAATGCAATCTTATTTTAGGCATTTCTGCACTACAAATCATCAACTGGTTAACAGATCTTTACATCATTCAGTCAGCCCTCTTTTGAATTGTAGAATGAAGCAGTACTGCTGATAGAATAACTTCAACCAGGTCGAATGTCAACTAATATCCGGACAAACTATTACATCTGTTGAATTAATCTTAAGAATATACCCTAGTTGTCTTCTATAGTGTCCATAGCCTCACACAAAATTCTAGAGATGCAATGGCATGCATCTCTCACATCTCCCTTTCTTTATGCACATAAATTTTCAAAGCACTATTTCACCAATAAATAAGATACGTTACTGGGCTTCATATGCTTAGTCCCCTAATGGAATAGCACGTTATAGAAAGTAGTTTAACAAAAATATATCTTCCTTTTTAAAACAAAAACATTACACTGGCTTTGTTCCCCTTGAGAATTTAGAATTGTTGCTTATTTCTAGTAAAAAAATTTTGCAAGTCAGAAAATTATCAGTTATTATAGTAAACTTTAAATGCAGTAGCTGAATTATCCCACTCAATATATATAATAAATGCAGGTCTATAAAAACCACCAGAGTATAAAGAACTCAAAAACCTGAGTTTAAGCTGGCATATATGTAACACACAATTTAGAGCACAATAAGATCACTATAAAAAAAAGAGTAAAAATGCATCTCTTCGTCCCACAACAATAATCGTCAACCATATCAACCATATTGCGTTCTTTTCCTTGCATTATCGGCACATGTATAATCGACACGCACGTTATCCGCATCACAAAACATTCTTGATAGCAAAGTGGCCACCGCAGTTTTCAAGAAAGGAAGTGCGAACAAGCCACATGACGATTATTGTTGTTGTGGGACAAAAGACACCGTTGTTACTTGACCTTTTTTTTTAAAGAGTGATGCATAAATCTAGCAATACAAAGCTCACTTGGCAAACGGGACAAGACGATTAGTTGGGAAGCCACTGCCATGAACACTGCTGTCGATATTTCCTGCATGGACGCAGACATGCCGCCGCTGGTCTATTACCAGATTCCAGTAATCTTTCTGAAAAAAAAAAAAAAAAAAGAACAATGTACCTTTAATTAGTAACATAAATGTCCAATGCACGGAGAACATTCCTCACATTCCACATACCAGTGTTCATACATGTTTCATCAATTGAAAACTAAATTCTATAAAGTGTGGCAATGCCATCATCCCCTGTAAAGTCGTGTGTCGCGAATTAGCCGCACTTGTAGTTCACAGCCGCTCAGCAGTAGGTGGCACAGCACTCGCACATGATCTTCACTTTCATCATCATTATGGTTAGCGCAGTAGCAACAGCAGCGACATCTGACGGCGAGGCTAGGTGGCCGGACAGAAAAAGTATGGCGCCTCGAAGTGAGAGCACGCTCTTGAAACATACGAACACAAGAGACGCGGTTGAACAAAACTTAAACGAAACATTTATTGAAGTAAGTTTGCATTGACGATATCATCAGCCAAACAGTGGACATTTTAATGCCATTCAAATGGAATGACAATCACATCTAATGACATTATATGGCTGCTACACAAAGATATATAATGCCATTGGAATCAAATGGCTCAAGCAATCGAATGAGTTCGAGAAACACATTCGCCTTTGCAGTCAAATTGAATGTATACTCTCTAATCCGGAGACTACTTAAAAGATGGCATTCTCAATCCGACCCAAATTCATGAAAACACACGTTGCTTTTTTGAGGCATCTCTTACTTTTACGTGTATGTTGCTTTTTGAGGCATCTCAATTTTATGAGACCAGGCGTACGGAAGGCTGCTTTAAAATATTTTTGCTCTCCACCTCAGTGAGGTCTGGCCGCCGGCGTTCTCCTTGAGCAGCTCCTTGAAGGCTTCGATGGCCTCTTTCTTGTCCTTGAACTCGATAGGTCGATCCTTGTTCTCCTCTTCATCGCTCGACTTGTCTTCTTCTTCACCACCCTGCTGCTGCTGTGGAGGTTGCAGTTGTTGCGGCTGTTGTGATTGCTGTTGCTGTGGCTGCTGCGGTGGTTGTGCTTGCGCCAATGCCTGCTGAGGCTGCTGCGGCTGTCCAGGCACGCCGGCCGCAGGCTCTGGCAGCTGGATGTTGGCCACAGAGTCTTCCTCCTTGCTCGTTTCTCCCTGGGCTGCAATTGTGGCTTTAAGCTCTTTGAGCTCCTTAGGAATGGTCCACCGTGACTCCTTCGTAATGACATTGTGGAAGTATGTACGCCCAGTGTCCGACTTGTACTCCTTCCAGGGGCACTGAGACAGCAGCAACTCTGTGTGCGTCTTCAGTTCATCAGGCTTCTCCCAACTGGACTGTTTAGTGGCGTGGTTGTAGAAGTAAGTGCGGCCGTCGGGAGCCTTGTGCTCTGTCCAACTGCTGCTCTTTGGTGCTTGTTGGTTGGCGGCCATAATGTAAACAAGCAGATGCCTCTGTGCAGGTGTGTGCATTTATCTCTAGTGATGGCATCAAGGGGGTTATGTTTTTTTAAATCTCATGAACAAGTCTCTTACGACTTATAAACGTTTTTAGCACCGCCAATAACAAAGCAACTGAATTCATTACTTGCTGCAGCTTGGCGTCATCGTTCAGCGGCTCTACCATGTAAGCGGTATTGTTTATGTTCTTTCTATCAGCTGTAGCTACCGGCTAAGCGGATCGTTTTGGTTTATTGTGGCTATATATTCTGCTATATAAAATTTCTAAGCAGCTTTGTTTAGTGAGGCCACTTCCTGCAAGTCTTTTGAAATAAATAACTTCACTTCTTAACCACTCTACAGTTACTCTCCGCAGCATTTCAGCCATTCTTTTCTGAACTATCGACATTGGCATCACAAACGAATGGCATTAGCTTTTCCTGTGTGGCACCACCACAGATCGAATTACATTCGTTGCACCGAATTAAATTTGAACTTAATGACATTAACACCTGCAGAGCAATAAGGGTATTCGTGGATGCACGAGAGGATGGCACACATCAATGATGGCACCTCTAACATTTTTTTTTTCTCAGATTCATAGCATACAGCACATAGTGAGCGAAAAGATTGGGTTCTAGAGGGTCTAAAAGGATCTGAAATCTAGAAATACATGCAACTTTTGCCATTTCTAATTATCATGTATGCTATAAATTGGCATGCACTACAATTTTGTAATAAGGGCACTTTCCCTCAAGTCTATATTTAATAATTTATATTTAATTAACCATTTCTTTTAATTAGTCACAACAGTGTCATGGTAACTGGGGTAAAGTATTTCTGCCACAACGTGGAGTTCGTGTGAAAATGACGGGAGCCTTACCGTCATAGGACGTTTGTTAAACCTCTGTACTGGATGAAAAAGGAAATACCCTGTGCTTGAACTATTTATGGAACATCACCGCAATGGCACAATTCACCAGGAATATCGCATGACTACTATATGGTGATGAAACTTTTCTAATGAGAATTATATTTTTGTTCTGGGCCCAATTGAAAAATATACTGCCACCATCATTGGCAAACCGATGGGGGGGGGGGGGGGCTAGGAATCCTTCCCTAAGTGCAGCATGGTTCTCAGATGAGAATCTAATGTAAATTCTTTCTTTTCCAGTTGTCATTTCAATCCCAGAAGTGGCTTGAGGGTAAAATTCCCTGATTTATTCTAGAAATTATGTTGTATTCACATATCTACGTCTAAACTGAAAGCGCATAAATCGCATTCTCTGTGGCTTTGCTTTCACTACCAGTGAATCAGCTTTGCGTGAAAAAAAAATGCTTTCTTGATGGTTCGTTGGTCTGATTCTTCTTGTTTTATTCTTGGTGGAAGTCTAAGAGGGGCTGTGTAAAATGACAGTGCCCTGGGCGACTTGGCCATAGGCTTCGGTGCACAGAGCATGCGACCTCAAAATCTATTTCGTCCAACAGCTCAACCAGCTGTATATGCAATGTTACATACATGTGTGTTCAACACAAGAGTTTGCAGTGTTGTCTTACCATTTATGACGTTATTATCCAGTTCACACGGCCAAATCTACTGCATTGCCTTGCATACATGCAAATACCTGCTTCACGTGGATGCTCCTAATGCAATTAAAGATTAAGATTTCAAGTGCCTGGATACCACTAATTCATCGGCTTCACAAGGCTTGATTGAATGACACTAAGGGCATGATGACGAAGTTGCAAAGTAAACACATGCTCATGTTGCTTAAATGCACAACTTTTTTTCAAATAATAAGCCATGAAGCTAATTTTACAAAAATAACAAGTGTTTTCAAGTTCATTCAATGGCCCTACTCGCTATGGAAGCAAAATGCGATTAAGTATGGTGCACGCTTTCAGTTTCGATACCGGTGGCAGTCTCATTACTTTTTCCTGAATTTTTTATAAGTGAACACCAATTGTGTCCGTTGTGTAGCTTGTTTCCTTTAAATAGTAAACCTAAGCGCACTATTGCGAAAAATATTCTTTTTGCATCATAAATGAGCTCCTCAAAACACAAAATGAAAACGAAGGCCCCTATTCCACGGCAAACGCGTGTCGCCGCTATTATTCTCTTTAGATTTAAAGTCTTTCCAATTACCACTACTGTTGACGTGCAAACGGCATATAATTTAAATTGACAGGATAAAATCAACATAACTATTGATTTTCTAAAATGAAAAAAAAGAAGAAAAGTATTTCATGCACTTGTACCTTTCCAGAATCATGTGCAAGTTTTCTTTTTCTTGCCTCATCACAATGTTAAATATACATACTTTCTCATAAATATTTCACTATCTGGAACTCTGAGTTCGTGTCTGCATGTCGCCACGACAAATATAACAATGAAACACACCGAGAAACATGCTTTTATTCCATTCCAACCATAGCCGTATCTTCTCAAGGACTGTCGTTTCATGAGATACTAAGTCACATTTATTCTCTCATCTAAATTTATTGAATGAGTACTCAGTTACCCTTTGAAACAGGATCCCATTGTTGCTTTTGGATGTTCTCACAACCTGAAAATAAAACTGTGCAAATACACCTACACTAATTGATATTCTCAGCTCACTTCAGACCACCCAAATATCCGCGATACATCAGTAGTAAAGACAGTAATGCAAAGAGCCGCAATCCACTGCAGCACACAAATTAAAAAAAAACACGCTATACTTTGCAATCTCGCCAAAAAGGGTTGCCCAAGATTCTTTATTCAAAATCAATTCCCTTCCAAAAACACAACCATGCAATCTTACAAATGCAGAAACAGCGTTCCCCCTATCAACACCATGACAGAAATACATCATTCTCAGTTGTTCGAGGCACCAGTGCAACCATCGCCCGTTTGAAGCAAACTCGGGCGACGGACCATTCGTGGAAGGCAGAGTCCGGCGATAGTTGTAGTGTACATGTATCCCGAAAGATTACAGCCACTAGCGTGGGTTAGGTCTTAGCGAGCCGCAGAGCACGCGTTAACCATCGCCGTGGCGAGAAAACGATATTTCTCAAGATTGCAACCTTTTATTGTCTGCGGCAATTCCAAAACACACTACAGAGCCCGTTGCAAAAGGTGCGGCGGGAAAGAAAATGGACTTATCCACGGCACGGGCAAGAAGTACTACACAGGGGGTGCCGCAAGCACATCTCCGGGGTAAAAGTGATTCACGGGGACACTGGGACAAAGGGACCAGTTGCTCGAGCGAGGGCGAAGAGAGATACGGGTCAGTGTAGCCTGGCCACGCACTAGGACACCGCACCGCTCTTCAGCCTAGTGTTCGCAAAGGAGCAACAAAAGGTGAGCATTCGCCACGAGCGCCATTGGTGAAGTCCAACGAGCCCCCAAACAATAGGAGTCAACAGACGGAAAAGAAATGCGTGCTCACTGTAAGCTGTCCAAGAGAAATCTGACTCACTACCGACACGCATGCGCAAAACGTCCTGAGAGACCTAGCGCGCGGCGCCACAGTCGACATCCGCTACCGGTTGAGAGGGGTTAAACGTCACTCCTCGCTCGCCCAGCGCGGTAGACCGTGGAAGAGGGGAGTCATGTCGGGACATGAGAATGGCAGAAAAGGTGGCAAAGCCCGCGCAAAGGCGGCGGGCTAGCCTCAATTCCCACACAGTAAAGAACACGAGAGGGCCATCTGCTCTCGCCACACACACATGGGCAGTCCTAAACAGGAGATAAAGCCCAGGCTGGGGCCAGTTCTAAACTGCAAATGACTTCAACAATAAACCACATGTACGAAGAGCTGCTGAAGTACTCGTCTACCGAAAAAAGAAGAAAAAAAATCTCGCCGACTCCTCACACTCTGAATGTGTTGTCTGCAGCCGATGATGGGGAGGGGTGGTTCGTGCCTCCCCTCTTTGAACTCTGAAGAGGAACCGTATGCACTTGAAACGTCGGGACAATGCCCACTCAAAGTTCTAAAGATAAGAAGGCATTTTGAAACATATGTTTTCTGTTTTCTATTGGGCTTGCATTTTCTGCTGGCAAATGGTGTCTACAGAAGTATTGTCGTGAATTTTTTCATAGAGTGCGGATGTATGATGAGCACTGGAGCGACGTGAAGATAGGCGACCTCGCTCGTGGCTCGTTTATCAAAGCGGCCGCAAACCTCGGGGGCTCTACAGCACAAGCACATGACAATATTAGTTTTAGCCCATATGTACACTGTGGTTCCTGCATTTCTGAGAAAGCGTTTGGGCAATAGCGTGTTTGGCATGGCCAGTCACCCGGCAGTATCGCACACACGTAGGGACCCCAAGCAATCAAGACTGCCAAGCGATCCCTATAGTTGCGAAGAAGGGACCAGTAAGACGCTATGGCCTAATGAGAAAAAATGGCTTTGTGAATTTGTGAAAGGTCTGTTGGGGAAGTCCATCTTTTCTTTCTTTTCTTTTTTTTAAAAGCCATTTCTCACGCTCTCTTCTATTACACCTTCTTTTTTGCACGTTGTACACTGGACGAAAGCAACCTATGCGTACGTTCAGTTCGCTTGCTACAACTTGCGTTCTGTGTCTGCTGTGCGAAGGTGCTTCGGCAGTGCGCTTCCAGACAGACCACAAGCATTGCGGAAGGGCCAGTCGAACATGATCCTCACCGACTTCCCGAAAAAAATTCCGCATTAAAATTGAAAGACGAGCAGTAACAGCACCAAAATGTTCAATTACGACCAGAAAGGCAGCGATTACTCGGCACATACCGCCAACAGCTAAGTCGATTGATTAGTCATCACTGAGGATGCTTCAGTCGCCGAACTTGAGAACACGAATGCCATTGCAAATCGGTAAGCATAGCTATAATGCAGCTGATCCATAAGGTGAGAATTTTTCAGCATGTGCGCTGCATTGAGGTGTACGTACCGTTATAATCAATACGGCAAAGCTTATAATCAATATTTATGTTGCACTTTCATACTTGTAGTCTGACGGTGTTTAGAGGAAGTTCAATATATAGATTATTCTGTTCGCATTATGCAGAAAGTTTTCAGCTGCAGTTCTTTAACTGCTAAAGTTCCCAATGGGGCTTGTTTGTATAGCATTTACTGATTACTCAGGTAAAAAGACAAACTCCACAATAAATGGGACACAAGAAAGGCACACTGCGCCAGGTGTGCCTTTCTTGTGTTCCATTTGTTTGCTCTGCTATAGAATTCACATCCTTTTTAAACAGCATTGCACAAATGCCACCGGGCCGACATGCCAGCACCCTAATCACTTAACGGCACTGACAATCTGAGCAGTGCTTGGAACTATGTTATGCCTGGTTTTATTCGATTTGCCATTTATTTTCTACGTGCACTGCTTCATTGAATGTTTCTTGGCCCTCTCAAGTTTTTTCATGGTCACGTGGTAAAAACGCTTAGGGATCGTTGTCATAATCATCACATTAAACATTATTATTATTATTTTATTGCATATATCATAAATGTTATAAGAATTATTTGGTATCTACTCTATTAATTTTATCTCAAGTTTTAGCTCCACCCCTGAGAGATATCTTGGGTGTGCTAATGGCTCCAATGAATTCAGGCCAGCAAAAATGATACGTTTTTGTCAAGTCTAAACAAGGGGAAGACATCACTGATACAGTTTGCATATAAAAAAAAGCAGACAGAGAGAGAGAAAAAGATCTAAAACAAAGCAATTACATGAACTCAAGAGTTTTATACAAAAGCCAGTAAACCTGAAGTATGATATTATTCAGAGCTCTACTGCTCTATACTGCTCCATGCAACTAAAGGAAGACAACGCTGAAACACTTGGCACATGAAAAAAAAAACAGAAAACCCCTATAATCAGAAAGTCTCATTAAACCATAATCAGACAAGATTAAGAGAAGAGTTATATATAAAATACATTTAACCTGAGTCATAAAATTTGCAAATAAAAGGCAATGTTCACAGTGCAACTGCATATGATTCACATACCTCAACTTCTTCGGTTGAAGGTTCATGCTTGTACCACATGGACATTGTGTTGCGAGCCACTCTAGAGAACACACTTAATGAAATGTTGCGTCCCTGAAAAAAAAAAAAAGAGGAAAACCTGAAGGTCTGGACATAACTTTCCATTCCTATCTGTAATCTGAAATCTTAAAAAATATCATAGTAACAAATTGCAAAGAGTCTTCCAGCATTTTGTGCCATCTGTTTTACTCACAAGTATTAAAGGCACAATTAATCTTTACAGAAGCGTGAGTGACATGAAAGAGTGTGCATGAGAGAGAGAGAGAGATTGGTGCCTTGCGTGTGTTGCTTTGGTCCGTCCATGCTGGCGGTTGTCTCATGCGCCCGTGCGAAGCACAACTGGCAAAGTATCTCGATACCTTCACAAAGCAAGAATAAACAAACATAACAGAATATAAGTGGCCTAAACAAACACAACAAAAGAAACATGATTAATACATGCTTTGCATGCATAATTTCCACAAAGTACACCTCTTATTTAGCCATAATACCAAGCAGAACAAATACTTTGAAAACAAAATTGATTGCTCTTAGGTGAAATGAATGCATGTTTTCCTTCTCACAGGGTTATTAACCATCAGGCAAATGGCATTCACACTCACACAAAATGCATAATGCTCAAATCCAATTCTAAAAGGACAATGTTACTGCACAAAATGTCATCACAGTCAATACAATTGGTATTCATCACCAGTAGCAATGACAATGCAAACAAAACAGCAATCTTCGAAGGCATTGCACATCAGTTGGAAAAAAGTCTTATCACAATTGCTTCTAAGCAGGCTCATATTTGCATGCTATGACAATGAGGTAGCATGATTTGCCCAACAAACTATAAGAAAGGGCTCGAACGGTGGCTAACACCAGTATATATTTTGCCAGCAAAGTGTTGTGCATGCATTTGTAATTCCCATAATACTGTTGAGTTGACAGACAATTTCACTACAGGTGTCATGTTGTGTGCATGAAGAGTGGACATGCAGCACCAGTAAGCCTGTGTTGCTCACACTGCCAGCAAGCGTAATGGTAAGCTGAACACTTACTCTCTTTCTGTTATAATTAAAATAAATTCTGATAACAGATTTAAAAACATTTCACATATTACTTCTCTGACTTAATACTAGTAAAGTGCTTTTACACTTTTCTTGGTACAGATTAGAATTTATATATTAAGCAATGTGACCCCCCCCCCCCCCCCCCCGCCCCGCTCTAAAAAGTATGCATTAAGTACAAGTTCAAAGAACCATTTTTTTAATGCATCAGGGAATATTCATACATTACCATACCGTGATAAATATTTTCCTTTCATAATTGTTGCCAGCTGGTTAAAAGAATGTATGGGTAATACGAAATCTGATTATTATGTTTGAAAGGGCACATTCATGTTGCTGATACTATCAGCAGTCCTTTTAAATCATGCTCATGCTTCTGCATATAACTAAGAAAATGTTTCATAGCAGGCAGTTTGCACCAGTGCATTCTGTAACAAGTTGGACAACCAGCCCAACTGTTAAAATGCAGTGCATGCACATGCACACAAAGTGAATAAATCAAAGGAAAAACTATCCATAACACACAAATTAAAGCTGTGAATGTGTACTGTAACCGGCGCTATATCTTTTCTAAACTAGGTGTCAATACTAGTGGGCAAAAAAGCTTCATATATGTAAATGAAGACCAAAAATATTGATATAAAATCAAGCACTGCAGAAGAGTTATCTCGTTCAGTCAGCACATATTCTTGAAAGACGCTGCACGAAGGTGATATGTAACACACAAGAATGACTAGACTTACAACTGTGTTTCCTATTATGCCAAACCTGGGCACATTTAAAAATTTACTTTATTTGCCAACTATGAACACTATGCCACTTAAATTAGCTGGGTGTGACAAAATAAAAAAAAGCAAAATAATGTGACAGTAGCACCATCTAACTGTGATCGAGGCAAAGAAGACTTGGTTTCAAGTATTCCGTACTCTCCATCATGACAAAGCCAACTGATTTCAATTAATTAAACTTGCAAATCACTTGCGGTAGCGTGAATATGACAGCAGCTGCTGTATACGCAAAAACTTAAACAGCTGATAAGCTCCGTACATGCAGTGCGATGAGGCACTGCATGTGTGGATCGAGAATTTACTGTGCAGTGGTCAAACGCCGAACGCCTAAAGCCGACCCAAAGCGACAAACTACGATGCCTCGATTCAGCCATAACAACTGCATTTCTGCTTTAATGAAACAGAAAAAAGAATACATTTTACATTTGCCGTAACATTAGTTTGTATACTGCTGCCACTGCATGTTATACTATGTTGCTGGCCCGGACTGCCTGACCTGCACATCGACAGCCTCCTGCTCCTCTTTGTTGCTTGGAATGGGAGGCTGATAACTAATTTCTTGGTAAGTTGGTATGCATCAACAGAGGTGAACTCATCGCTGGTAAAGCGACCACGACATGAATGCATTCTGTTTAGCTATGTGACAGCATGCGGGATTCAAAAGACGGCGAATGGCTGGCCGACTGTCAAATGAGGGAGTCATAACATCACGTTCCAACTTGCGTTGGCCGAGTGGCTAGGCACACACTCATAAAAGTTAAGCTTCATTTTTAAAAGTTGAACGCAATAGAGACATCCTGTTCCTACAATGCGTGCTTCAACGACTTAGTGCATGATATTACTCGACAAGTTTGTACTGTGTACTACTGAAATGTAATCGATAAAGCTGAACGTTTGTTGCGGGAGTGAAGCTTTCGCATATGGTAGCATTCTGTGTAATGGATAGCATACTTTAAACCACCAGCATTTACGCACGTAAAATGTTTTTGAACTTGCTATGCACCCACTACGTGGTCGCGTGCAGTAATGTGAGTGCCTTTTGTAATGGGTAGCTGGCTTTAAACCACAAAGTTAGGATAATCCCATGTTCAGATGGCCAATGGCAAAGTACATTTGTACCACTTGTACCACGCAATATTACTGAGATATTACATGTTGTATTGTGAAGCCTGTATTTTGTACACGTGGTAGTATAGCATGAACATTATTTTCACTGAATTTCCAAACGGAAGTTATTTTAACTGTATTTCCAAGCAGATGCCTGGCTGCGAGGTAGGACGCCTGCTTGCCACGCAAACAACCCAAGTTCGAACCTCACTCAGGCCCCAAAATCTTTATTATTCATTTTATTTGCACCTTCCTTGACTTTTCGGTCAGGCACAAGGTGACTTTTCGATCACAACCAATGACGCCCACGCCAACGAAAAATATTTCTGCCAAACGAGCTCTTCAAGTGATCACATTAAAACATAGAAAATAAGACCAGTCACTTAAATGTTCTGTAAAAATGACCTCTTTCAGATGCAACCATACAGTGAGAATTCATTTTTGGCATTCTTGCTAGATTTTTGTATTTTGGTTCGGTATCTTTTTAACTCATTAGTAATGCCTGATATGAAGAGCTGACATTTACAGAGTCATATTCTGATTCAGCAGTCAAAGCAGCGATTCAGGGGAATCGCCACTACTCCCTTGTGAGACAAACTCTGTAGTTGCGAGTGTGTTCAGAAAGCAAAAACATGTCCAAAACCTATAATAATAGTTTGTCTGCTCGCTAACAAGACAGAAGAGAAGTTTTTGCGAGTCCTCGAAGCAGGAAAAGGAACCACAACAGCATTGTTCATGTCAGTCAGTGCCTGCATGGAAACAGCTTCAATCGTTTACCGAAGAGGAATAAACGAGAGAGTAACGAATTCGCCATCTTTTGAAAGCTTCTAAACCAGAAAGCTGCCAGTTTTGCGGGTGCAACAAGTGAAAACTGGCGGAAGGACGAAAGTGAAACTAGCCGGCGCGCCACTGTAGCAGAGCATTAAAAAAAAAAAAAAGCAGGGAGACCCTGGGCTAAAAAAATTTCAATGTATTTCCACAATGTGCCAACACATGCCAAGCCAGAAATATAGAAAAAGGCATGCTTTTTAAACATACAGAACGCGCACATAGTTTAACCATCTTGAGGCTGTTAGCAGATGATGTACATGTACGTTTTTGACCCTCAAAGGGTGAAAGCCATGATCCATCATTATCTCTATCAACAGCAACATCAACAAGGCGGCACTACACGCCGCAGGCGTCCCTTAATTCCTAAAAAAACAATCCCTTCTCTCTAGACCTTTGGGTAATCCTCAGCCCCTCAGAGTTCGCCCCTGCCATCCACAAAACAAACAGATTTGTCCCCGCACAGATACATATGCTCACTGCCCTTCCATCCTTCATTGTGAGAAGGAGCACTCGGCTGGGAAGAGAGACAAGCCACTAAAGGTTCATAACTAAGGAAAAAGCAAAACCAGCGAGAACCTCTTTTGAATCATTAAATGCATGTAACTCCCCTATTACGACACCCTTTTGAAAAATTCTCACAGCTATGTGTATATTGTATACTGCTTAATTTCGGCCTCAGGGTGGTTTAAGGGCCCTTTAATACGACTCACATAATACAAACTATATTACAATCCATCACCATCACACCCTGGCCACACAGTTCTTTATAGCCCAACTTGCACGAGCCCTTTCATAACCTCAATAGCAAAGAACAGATTGCCATGACCTTTGCTTACAGTAATCATGCTATTATCATATGCAGACATTACATTTACAAACAACATTTCTGTAGTGCGAAACTGAATATTCTTCACAACATACTTTTTGGATGAATAAGTACACCCGACAGTATTTGAATAAATGTGTGCATATTGAACCCCGGCTCTGATACATTGTGATGATCTAGTAAGCACCCAAAGAGTTTAAGCCAGGCTCTTAGAGTACGACTGTGCTGTGTTCAAAGTAGGCCTGAATCTTATTCCTCATGTGGTAAGTTCAATCCTTGAACAAAGACTTCTTTGACTGCTTAGCATACTCAAGATTCACCTGTTCCAGAGCTTCAATAAAGATTCACTTCGATATAAAGTGGACCCTGCCAATGTGACCAGCAGTGTTGCCATATGAGCAAATAAGATCTGCTGGATCGATGCTCATCTACTACAGCAAGTGGATTACATAGCCAGTCTTAGCTGCATTGCTTAAGAATTCAATGGTTTTTCAAGAGAAAAAAATGGTTTGAGAACTTTCAAGGGACTAGACAGCACAATTTTCAAAAAAAGCTTTCAAACATTTCAAGGACCTGTGAGCACCCTTACAGACACACCAACAATACATATTCATTACTAAATGGCCTGTTTAAAAAGGGTTCAGTAATATATTTGGGCATGTTGGTTCAAAATCATAAGTAGAATACAGTGCTAGAAGACTCCCTTTTTTTCATCCACTTAGTGCAGATGTAATTTGTGACCAGGGCATGGATATGTGACATATATTAGAATGCATTTCATTATTCTCCTGTGCTTGACTAAAGGTGCAAGCAGCTCTCTGTCCTGTTATCATTGGTATTGTCTAGTCAGGAGCAGTAAAAAAAAATCTTGGCACTGCCCCTTTGTCTGGCTGCCTCCCACTGGTGGATAAGAAATTGAATCAAAGTGAAAAAAATCCTTATACTACAGCCTCGTTCAAAATGTCCCAAACCATGACATTTTTCAAGTTTGAGTGACTTTCTACCACTGAAACTTTCCACGAAATTGCACAACAAAACTCAAAGGACGCACACTAAAGTGCAATTGGTAAAACACATGTTCTGGAGCAGTATGCTGCAAAGGCTTACCTTTGCAACACACTCATTACTGAATTCGTCCTCCTCGTCTTCATCAGCTGATGTGGACGAGGGTTCACTTTCAGCAGCCATTTGACGTTCCCTGTCAGCCAGAACTTGACGCTCAATGGCCTTCTTCTCATCGGCCGACAAGAGGTCATAAGGAAGGACAAACTTGCAATAGGCATCATCCACTTTTGACACTCTATCTTGTGCCTGTCAGTAATGGAGATAAAGAGTTTTAGAAGGAGTTTAACAGGTCATGACAAAAACTTATCACATGCACACGACCAAAAAAGTAATGCATTGACTATTTTTGAGGACATAAATCACAACAGTCTGTCTGATACAACAGCCATTATCTGACAAGAGGTTTAGAAATATAGAGAGTTGAGCTAGCCGCTACATCGTATTCATGTTAAAATAATGGGCGTGTAAACGCAGACAAAAGAGAAAAGAAACCACCACGACGTTTATGGTGTCTTGGTTTCTCTATTTTGTCTCTGTTTGCACGTGCAGTCTTTTAACATCAATACGATTGGTAACAAACCTTGTAACAGGCAAATGTAGCACAATCCAAAAGGATCAAGTTCCACTTTCCCCAAGAAAAACAAACTACAGTTATTCTGCTAGCTGGCTGCTCATGCACCCTTTATTTGCCAATTTTATTACGATTACAAAGCTAAGAAGTGACTAATTATTGAACTTTTTACAACTACTAAAGAAATGAAGATAGAACAAAACCAATAAATTGTATAGACAACTCAGCAGGCACCAGATATACTCATCTGTCCATATGTGGGATCAACTGCTAACATTACACATACACCATGCATATTTGCACTAGTGGATTAGTGTCCAGTTATATATATAGCAAAAACATGCAAGCTGCACAAAATCTAAAAAGTATAACAAATCAGTACTTAACAGGCAGTTCCTGTGTCATACAATGGTTCCTCTTCAGGTCAATAGAAGAACATGATGGTCAGATAACTACAACATATCTTAAGAGCCTCATAAACTGAGAATATCAAGGTGCTTCCAGTGCACTTGTCTGAATACAGTTAACGCCTTGAAAATACCTTTAGTGGTCGAACATCTCTTATTAAACTGGAGAATGCTTATGCTCTGCCTTTCAGAGTGGAACATGATAGCATTGATGCAAGGCTTCATGACATCTCGCCAAAACACACGTAAATGGTGTTTCCAATCCTCATGATATCCAGCTGCTGTGCGATGTCAGTGCAAACAAGGGCATCAGAACTGTACAAACCCAGTCTGTATAAACTGTGACACTGACCTCAAGGTCAGACAATGCATGTGCTCCCTATGCCCACTTTCAATCTGTTTAAATCACCAAGCCATCATGGCTGTTTGGGTAGCGCACTTGTCTTACATATAAAGGCCTGGTTTCAATTCCTATGCCATCCCGAGTTTTCCCAATTTTCTTTCGAGCTCTTTTATTTCACTTTGCTTGCAGGAGATCATCTGAGAAACATGGCGTAAATTTGAACATGCTTTAACCTACATTCCTTGAAACCTTTCACTCACGATAATACCAGCTTTACAGCAACACAACATCCTTAATAAAGGAACACTAAAGTGAGATATTGAGTCAGTTTAAACTAATAAATTTAAATCTGACAATTCTAACATGATTAATTTCACTCACATATTTAATAAAAAAGAAAGTCAAGGTCATAAGTGTCATTTTAAAATTTTACACCGAAATCTTTGCATGTGATATCCTGATCTTTCAAAGCACATTTATCATTATTTGAGAACACTGGTTCAACAAAATTTTCTAAAATGTATTGGTAGGTTAAAGAGCCCCTAATCCACCTAGAGGTCGAAATGCAGTTGTGGTGGAGAAGTTGTGCACGAGTCCACAACCAACACATAGCTGCGAGTTTTTCGCAGCGGTGCCATAATAGGAAAGTTGGATGCATTTGATGATCGAAATGCCGCAATCGCTCCTTTCGCTCTTTTCTTTGCAACCCTCGACTGACCTTCTCTTAAAGCCGCTTTGCCCACCTTACCGAGTTCTCCTCCCAATCTCACATAGCATATTTCACTGCCGACGCGCTGTTCGAAACGCTGGCTACTTCCGGTTTCCGTGATTTTGTCAACTATGTGCTTGTTAACGAACCACTGTAGCTGTGCCGGCTCGTGCTCTCACAAACTGTGCTGGTATGGATCCTGTGTTGCACGCATGCCTTCAAAGGATCTTCAGCCTGATGGATCTGTACCATAACATGCCGTGCCAGAGCACCTTTGCGCAAGATGAGGAGCCGCCGACAGCTGCTTGCAGACTAACTGGAAGTTGTAGGTTCTTGTTGAACCAATCGCAGCATGGCTTGCGCTCCACATCAGATTCAACTTTGTGGTGTCACACACGTCACTACAAAGGCCATCAAAATAGTCTGTAGAGGGAAAGGGATTGTTTCTTGGAATTAGTGCAGTGCATGTGGCCTGAAGCACTGCCACGTGTGGAATCGTTGATTGTGACGGCATTCTGCACAGGTGTGCGTGTTTACTCGAAATGTTAAAAAAAAATATCTGACGTGGTTTAGAGGCCTTTAAACCACCCCCGATATTTTTTGAAACATTTCAAGTACATAAACACACACATCGTGTGCAGAATGCAGTCATGATCAATGATGCCACACATGGCAGCGCTACAAGCCACGAGCGTGCCACGAATTCCTAGAAACAACCCCTTCCCTTCTCCGGGCTTTTCGGCCTCTAGAGTAATATGTGCGATGTCAACAATCTATGATGCGGTCTGAAAACCATGCTGCGATAGGTTGAACATGAACCTACGACTTCCAGTTTTATTGGCAAGAAGCTGTCCGAGCTCCTTGCTGTTGTTCGTCATGTTGTCCACGTGTGCGCGCCTGCAAATCGGCAACTGCGGTCTGTAACACATCTATCAAATTGTTACAATACTAACACAGTCACACAGTCACACTCATAAGCTGCGCAAACTGAATTTGACAGATTGTACCGCCCCACATTGTCACCACGAATTGGGGAAGCTGCTGACAATGGCACCTCATCTAGAGAAGAGGTGCTTTAGCATGGTGCGTCACCACACAGTTTCATGTTGTCGATCTTTTGAAGGCGTGCATGCAACACAGGGTCAATACCAGCACAATTCATGGAAACACGAACCGGCACGACAACAACAGCGGTTAGCCAAGAAGGGCGAGTTCATGAAGTCGTGACAAACGGAAGTGTACGCTCTTACCATTGGTGCGATTGGGAGAGGCACTCAGCAAGGAGAGCAAAGCTGCTTTAAAAGAGGAGACAAGCTGACAAGCAGAGGGTAGCAAATGAAACAGTGAAACAAGCGATCGCCAAATTTTGACGATCAGACGCATGTCACCCTACTGTTACGCCACTATTTCAAAAAAATTTTTATGGCTATGTGTTCATTCAAGACTTGCACACAACTGCTACACAATAACTAAATTTCGACCTCTGGGTGGTTTAGGGGCCCTTGAACTCTTTGAAGCAAAGAAATTATAATTGTTCTAAATATTCAATTTTCATGCATGAATTGCAAAAAAAAAGGTTGCAAAAAACGTAACGGACGAAGGAAGAAAATTGCTGCTTGTAATAAAACTTCCACAAGGTGGTCAGCAGCACTGACCACCGTGCCGGGAGGGTCTCAAAGTACGTATTTCAAATGTGGTCCTTTGCAATGTAGAGGCACACTCCACACTTTCCTCCTTTGGACATCATGTTGCATGATTTCAGAAAGATTTTTCTTCTTCTTCTGAAGGCACACTGATGTTTGGTACAGCCAAATTGTTCTCAACTCTGTCACTACCGCAAAAAAAGAGACCATTTTTAGGTGTCAAAAAAAGTTTTTGCGGCTAGATACCGTATTTACTCGATTCTATCGCGCCCTCGATTGTAACGCGCACCCAATTTCCACCACGGAAAAAAAAAAAAAAACATCGATTGCAATGCATTTTTCTCGCTGGCCCGCATGATCACACCACTCGAAAAAACGACTCCTTTCGGGAGCGTCTTCCATTTAAATATGAGGTACGGGCGAAGTTTGTGCCCATCTGACGTGTAACAGAGCATTGCCGTCACTGTAGTTTTACCGTGGACCGATGTCAGCACGCGAACTTGCTTTGCCCCCTTCTTCTCGACGGTTGTGGTGCCAGGCACGTCGAAGTAAAGAGGCGTCTGATCTGCATTCCCGATTTGCCCAAGCAGGTAGCCGTTGTTGCGCCGCAAGTTTAGGATGAACCCCTGAAAACTGTGAAGCTTTTCATCGTATTCTTCCGCAAAACTTCGCATATGCATGTTCCCCTTCGGAAGGAAAAGCCTTTCCTCTTCATAAAAATAGTTAGCCAGCACCTGCTCGCTTTAAACTGGCTCCGCATTAGACCTTTTTCTAAGACTAATTGCATAGCCCGCACTTGGAGCAGTTCTGTCGTCACGGGCCGCTGTGCCGCTCGCTGCTCAAGCACATACTCGCCGAGCAGCTCTTTAATTTGCGGAAACCGACCCTGCTGTGGTCCACTGAAGCCTTTGCGTGAAGCTTTGCTGTTGACAATCTTTTGCTTTTGTTTCCGCCGGTCCCGCACGCACGTTTCGGGAACTCCGAACGACCGCGATGCGGCCCGATTTCCGTCCGTTTCTGCACACGCGATGACTTTTCTTTTAGAAGCGGCATCGTGGTGCACTCGAGTTTTTGGAGTCAGCCCTTCCACGCCATCAATGCTAATGCACTACTAGATGATGAACTCCTCAGCACACGTACGAAGTGCGGCACATGGGAAACACATAAGCAGAAATGGCCGACGTGCCATGCCGACGCACGTAGGGGGCGGCCATTTTGGATTTGCCGATGGCAATAGATTGACCGTAATTTTTTTGTTCATACTCGATTCTAACGCGCATGTGATTTATGAACTCACTTAACAGGAAAAAAGGTGCGCGTTAGATTCGAGTAATTACGGTAGTTACGGTATGCCTCATTTGTATTCTTTGGTACCAAGCTATAGCTAAAGGAATGTTCTGCCCAATAACACAAACGTTGCATATATATTTGTTACACTCATTAAGAAAAAACGTTCTTTATAAAAGTTTATACAGAGATTATATAACTAACGCTTTAAAAAACAGGATAACATAAAAAATAATCAGATGAAAAATAATTCAAGATATACAGTTAGAAGGTTATTTGCAAAAAGTTTGTACAAGTTTAAAAAATCCACGCCCAAAAAAAGTTGTCATACATTATTGTATTCACTAAAGGAATGAATAAAGAAATAAATTAAAATGAATTTACTAAAAAGAAGTTTATAGCCTCACGAATTCACTGTCACAAAAATTTTTGAATATGTCCAGTACGTGTGGAGTTACACAGATTTGTTGCACGTTGCAATTGCATTCTCTTTTCCTTGGTCCCGACGAAAGCACTGGAAGCTAAGCAGGAAAGAATGGCACGGGGGAAGAAAATACATCACGTGCATCTCGTGACCATACAGACTTTTTTCTAACCTTTTTTTTTTCTTTCAAATGCACGGCTTTGTAGTGCCGTCGTATGCGCACATGCAGAAAAGTCCCGGCCTCTCGTGAAGGCCCCAGTAACATCTGAGCGCGCCATGCTCAAATCAACCAATGGTTGATACTTGGTCTGTGACATAGCGTTTTCTTAGTTGCTAGTGCCATATGTCCAAAAAAAAAAAGGAAGCGATTTTTCGCTGACTGAGAATTTATTGTAAATTCCAGGCCATACGCTGTGCCATAATATTTGTCTTGCATGTTCTCGGGAGCCTCAGCTACTTATCGACGTTTTATGGGCATGATCAAAAAGTGTTGCAGGGCCCCTTCAAGTTTATGGCCACATGAGAGGATGATGTACTTCGATTTTACCGATTAGGAACCATGTAAGCGCTAGAAGACGCTGTCAAAATCTATAAAAGTCATGGCAATTGGTGCACAAATTTCAAGGAGGTGTGTCATCTGCATTTTTTAACTTTTTTCACTTACTACGAGTCTTCTCGCAGCAAACGTTGTGATTTTAGCAAGCAAAAAAGTAGTTTTTTAATACGAGAAAAATCGGTTTTCTATTTAGTGAATGCTATAATATTGAAAATGTGGACAAATGAACACGAGAACATCTCGCATCAAATATTGTACTTTAAATTTTAGGGGCGAAGCTCCTTAGGGCGTGGGCTGTGCGTCCCCTGTAGCCTGTATGTAGCCACCTCTAGTTTAGTTCTTGCAGTGTTCACTAGATGGCGGTACCGTCCCCTGTATGTAGCCACCTCTAGTTTAGTTCTTGCAGTGTTCACTAGATGGCGGTACCGTCTCCTGTATGTAGCCACCTCTCGTTTAGTTCTTGTAGTGTTTACTAGATGGTGGTACTTGTAGCTGATGATGAAAAGATGCAAGATGTTATAAACTAGAAAGCGGTACTTGTAGCTGATGAAAGACGCGAGATCTTATAAAATAGGAATGATGTCACATATGGCGCGTGTCATTGGTTGAAGGCAATCGTTCGATTTAGTGCGGCGACGTACGCTAGGGGGAGCGATGTAATAAAATCGAGTGGGCGAAATGTAGAGGATTCATGGTTTACCAGGTTTACCTCCGGAGCTTCGCCCACTCATCATCATTCACTTCGTGGATATGGCGGAATTTTTTTATATTATTTATGGTATCATCCGGAAGTATGAGCAAAAATGAGGTGAATGACAGCAGAGACTCACAGCTTTGGGTATGTGCATGGCATCAGCTACCCTGTGCCATTTCTTTTTTTCCATCACCTGCTGTATGCCACCAAAGTTCTGCACTGTGTGGTACAGATGAGACAAGTCAAGCTCTATTCCTCCAATCTGAAAAAAAAAAAAGGAAAAAAAAAAAACAGGAACAAAAGATGTAAGCTTTATACTAGAGCTATAAAGCCAAGCTACAGAATGCGAAGCTGTGACATGCAGAAAAATATCAAATTATTACCAAAGGTGGCTGGTCATCAGTGATGCCCTGGTTAGTGAAACAACGCTTGATGCATGCCATATGTTGCACATTTGGCCCCCACCTGGCAATTGCAGCAAAAGAACAAAAGTGACTGTACACAAGCACTTGCAGCTTTGCACTATTGTTAAGCACTAACGATCACTACGTCAGAACCTGTACTCAAATGCAATAAACAGAGGTCATTTAGATGTTAGATCATTTTAGACATAACACAAATTATCAAAAAGGCATTGTTTAAGCACTGAAACTAAATAATCTGTTTACAACAATGTACTGACAGCTGACTGCACTTGCTGGCAGTCAATGCCGTGTTTACCAGCTGAAATCGGGTAGTTGCTGTAAGTATGGTAAACCGTGAAAGTCGGACCGAGTTTGCTGTAGTAAATCCATACATGTTTGAACCGGTCGGCACTTTAAGGGCGACGGCTGAAGCGGCACAAAAAAGCGAATCCCAACCAGCCACCTTCACCCGTGTCAGAAACATAGACTGGTATGTATAAGATGCTTGCCAAAGCTTAATTTCACTGCAGTAAACTGTTATAAATGAAACGCTTATCAGTGAATATCAAATACAATAAGAAACGGCAGCATTGGCATTCGCATTTAGCCGCGTATTGGCACGGTCCGCGCTAGGCACGGGCAGCGTACAGAAACATCAGCTGTTCCTGGATTTCACAGCCAAGAGTGCAGCGTTGTTAATGCAGTCAGTATCGTACTTTGCATCGGGCAAGGTGCAGAGGATGAGTAAGTAGACTACTGTGAGAAAAAAAAAAGAGCCAGATGAGTGCCACTCGCAGTGGTGATATATGCTCGGAACTGTGCTGAAAATTGCACAAGAATAGTTTGGCTCATATATTGCAGTTCTGATCTTTATAATACTGTCGCTTCTTCTAAATTATGCCCAGTACTACATTGATGATGTGTTAAACTGCAAACGATTTATTAGTTGTGCTTAAAGCATGCGACTGTCGTGTAGAATAGCTGATTTCGATTATGCGCACTGATATCTTTGTACACGTGTTTTCACCATAGTTGCTCATGCATGCACTGTGTGTAAATGGGGAAAAAGGAGAAAAGCTGATGCTGCCTCGAAATTCAGCACATTTGCAACCACCACAGCGCGCTTCATCTCGTAGGTTTGAAGTACTTTCTTTTAACTACAGCAGCCCATTTTGCAGCTATCTTTTGATCCCGAGAAAAATTGTGCAAAGCAATTTCATCGCGACCAAAAGTGCTTTGGTAGCAATATGCCATGCTGTAATTGTGAATCGCAAGTCCATTTTGACCCCGCACAAACACAACCAGTGAATGCCGGATGGAAAAAATCTGATCAGAAGAAGAGAATGGTGTAATGACAAGAAATCCCTACGAACTGGCAAAACTGATGTTTTTCCAGGCAGAAGATCGCAGCAGAAACAAGGCACAACCGCGAAGTAAACAAGCTGAGCTGACGAGCGACGCAGGCGGCCCGGCGCAAAGTTGCCCGCAGGGCGGCGGCTAGACCCTGACGGTGACGTCACCTGCCCACGTGTCTACCTCTCCCGTGCTCCGCCTATGCCCGCACGCGTGTCGGGAGAGCGTTCCTTTAGTCAAAGTTTGCTGGCTTATAGCGCTGTTGTTTAATCTAACCTTCCGAAGAAAAAAAAAAAAACCCTCCGTGAACATGTTGTAAGAGGTCACGGATACCGAATTCACAATAAATTCGCGAATTCAGAACCTATTCAGTGTCCCTTTAACGCAGCCACGAACTGTCAGTAAACTTAACATTACCACAGAATCTATGTTCCATGAACTTTTCACACTGACTCTTTTAAAACGGCTAATTTTCAGGTCGCATATTGCAACTTAGGCCCAGACTAATGAAAGTTTCAAATGTCTGGATATTAAAGCTGTCGGGTTTCTTGAAAGAAGGATCACTTCATTGGGGAGGTAAGAATTCATAAATAGTAAACTTTATAGAGCACTTATTAAATAAAATTAAAAAATAACAAGTGCTTAACAAAAACTTGACCAGATAAACAATGAGAAACTGCAAATTACCTGCCAGGTAAATTCATTTTCCTATTATATCAATGGCTTTTTACATTATAAATATAATATCAGATAGTTACCTTGAAAGCATTTTGTGAATGTATTGATTGTATGCTGTAAATCGCATATCATCAAACACCTTGCATTCAGGCTGAAAAAGGAAGAAACCGTGCCATTATGTGAGCTGCAGACAATTAAGGAAGCAAGTATTGTAAAACAAACGTTGAAATCTGACATGCCACTGCAAGGATATTAGATATATATAAAATAGACAGCAGGAATGATCCACAAAGATATACATATATTCTGTGCACAAATATATTTTTCTAGTATTGTAAGACTAATATCCTGCCAATGGAGATAAGAAGAAATATACACCATGAGCCCAACACAGAAATTATGCACTTAGTTTATATTTAATGTGTATAAAAACATTGTTATAATTACTGGAATTCTGCACCATACCTGCCTACCCGTGAAAAAAAAGAATTTAAACCATGCACAAATAATGAGCAGGAACGGATGAAGGCATTAGAACAGTACATTTTTTTTTTCAAGGAACTGTTAACCATTTTTACTGATACACATTTTTCTTTTAAAGGCCACCTCTGGTGATTTTTTTTTTACTACGTCAGGGTGGTGGTGCTTTTATGCTCTTGAGACACCCTTGTCACGTGCCCGATAGCTGAGATGCTCAACGAATTCAAAAACAATTTTTAATTAGCGAAAAACGCAATGCTGAAATCGAAACCCAACCAAGTGCGCTTCTAAGTATGACGTACTTTGCCCTAACCTGCCTGGTTGTGCATAAAGCCACCATATGGCCCTTCTGGCCCAGGATGTTTAAGTTTGTGCCTGCAGCGATCGACTAAAACGCTTAAGCTGTTATGGTGAATAGTATATGACGAATCGTGTGCAGTGTTGCCATCGCTGAACGTCAGACATCCGCTAAAAGGAAATGAAAAATCCGCCAGATTCCGCTAGATTCTAAAACATATCCGCTAAATTTCCCGCTAGGGCCTATTTTATTCAAAAAACACTGCAATTTCGTATGATAAATACCTTTATCATTCTCAAAAGCTCCCCAAAACTTCGAGAGCTGAAATAACATATTGCCGCGAATAGTCGTTCAAGGAGTCTAACTAGAACACTTGAGGCTTCAGTGCTGCGGTCGTCGTCATTGGTGAACCTCATCACAGATGAGGCTAAAAGTTATAAATGTTCACACTGATAAAAAAAAACTTACAGGTCAACGAAAAACACATCGAGGTCTTCGTCGCCGCTGTTGTCGTCTGACACCATCTCCACAGGACCGCTGGTACTTGTTGAGGGACCAGACAGGTCACTTGGTTGCACATACGTTGCAGATGTCCCGATTGCACTAACAACTGCCGCGGGAAGTTCGTAATCAAAATAACTTTTCTGGTGTCGCTTCAGCCCCGCTCTTACGACGAGGATGGCATTTGTTTTTTCAGGCTTCAGCTTGTTCCTCAGCTTGGATTTTACTATGTTGAGCTGACTAAATGTCCTCTCTACTTCGGCATTTGAATACGGCAGCACGAGCATCGACATGGCAAATCCGGCCAGCTCGGCGAATGGGTTTTCGCCGCAGGCGTCCTTATAGGAGTGAACTTCACACCAGAACGACTGCGTGGACGATATTTGCTTCCAGTCCAGGAGGGTGATTTTGCCCCACTGGTTTTGAATTTTTTCGATCGTTTCAGGGGGCACTGCCATTGCTTCCAGCAGAGGAATCAATGGCTCCTTCACGACGCACAAAGCGTTTTCGACCGATAAGAGTGATGTTTTCTGGAGAACTGTGATGTTGTCGGGAAGTCGCTGTCTGATTTGATCTACTAGCGTGGTAATAAACCTTATGCAGCTTTCTCGCATCACAGCTTCATCTGCGACAGAGAACTCGTCGGTCTTCTGAGCTTTCATGTTGTCAACGTACGTCTCAAACAGGTAGCCCAGATATGGCTTGGGATTCAAGTGGTCCTCAAGTCTGCACGTCAAAACGTCAATCTGCTCTGTCGGAATTACGACTTTTTCAACCAAGCTTGAAAGCAAAGTCATGAGGTCTTTCAGCAGCTTTGTTTGATCCGCATTTTTCGCCTCGAATGCCTTGTTAACCTTCTGAACATCTGTCAGAATCGGTCTCAAAAAAGGCAAGTACCCCAGATTGATCTGGTTTTCGTACATACCATACAGCACCTCTGCCGCATAGCACTTTTCAGTGCGCCTTGCAATCTTGAAGTGCGCCTTCAATTCGGTCCACTGGTCTATGACCCTCGATACGGCTATTTCGAGGGATAGCCATCGCGTCCTGCACGCTTGCACAATCTTCAGTGGTTCATCGCCGTCATTCATCAGACCGTAGAGCTTCTTGTACGCCATTTGCCGGACAGGGGATCTTGCGAACCAGTTGTACGTTTCGCTTATTAGGTATTCTAAGATTCTCGGCAATGCTTCCGCCGTAGCAGCCGACGTGGCTAGCTGCAAAGAGTGGCAGACACAGCGTATCAGTACGAGGTGGGGAGCCTCAGCTTTCAACTTCCGATGAACGCCATTATTGATACCCGTCATAATGCTAGCGTTGTCTGTCCCTACGCCTCTCATCCTTTCCAGTTTAAGACAGTACTCCATCAGAGTGGATTTCACGGCCGCCACAATTCCATCTGCCGTGCACACTTCCAAGGTGCACAAGTTAAGGAATGTGGTCATGATCCTTGACTTGGTGACACTGTGATAGATGATAGAAATGGCAAGGAATTTTGTGACACTGATGTCGGTCGACTCATCTATGATCAAGCTGTAATAGCTGTCGCCAATGTCCTGTGCCAGATCCGCCTTGAAGTGTGGGCCAAAAACGTTCTTAATCACGGAAGCGCACTTGGAGCGGCGCATTTGATACGCTCTTGCAGCTTCGCTGTCAGGAAACGACTTCTTATAGAGTTGGCACAAGTGATCGGCAGTCATAATTGAAGAATTTTCGGCGATAAATAGAGCAGTTCTGCCCTCAGCGGCATTCCCTGGTTGGACTTGCCTTTTTGTAGTGAAGCCCAGTTGCTTCTGAATCGAAGAACTGCCAGCCAGTTCCCTATGCTTCTTGGTGTTCGCATGAGCTTTCAGGTCCGAATATCTGCTGCCTAGTTGACAGCCGCAGTGCTTGCACGCCGCAACTTGTTTTCCATCAGCAGACGCTTTGCACTCCAGCCATTTGCTGAGTAAGGGATCCTTTAACCACTCCGTCCTGAACTTCTGCGAATATACCACTTTCGGCATAACTCAAGAGGAAGGGGAGTCAGGTTACACGGAGAATAAACAGAACCGTTTTTCGACACAAAGCAGCCGGACGTCTTCCTTTGTTCTCTGCAACTTCGAACGCAAAAAAACAACTGGGTGGCTACTTCGCCAATCGCCTTGCTTCCCACCGGAACTACAGGCGCCCCCTGCCACTTGCGGTGCAAACAGCGAGCCTGCTCCCTGCACGATAGCGGACTCACTGTTTGCACGGCAAGCGGCAGGGGGCGCGCAGAGTCCACAGATTGGTGCATCGCAGCTCGTCCGTTGTTTATTACTTGGAAAGCGATTGCCGCTTTGAAACCTCACGGATTTGTTTGTCTGAGATAGGCGGAGCAAGTGAACAGGAGCCTCTGAAGTTAAACAATTTCCGCATTTTTAGAGAAAACGGGAATGGTTTCTTGCAGGGCGATTTTGAATTGGTCCACTGCGTGAGGTATCCGACAGAAATCCGCTATGTACAAAAATGGCCCGTCAGAAAATCCGCTAGCCGCTAGATTGATTTTTTCCCCGTCGTAATAAAATAAAATCCGCCAGATTTAGCGGGAAATCCGCTAAATTGGCACCAGTGATCGTGTGCAGCCCACAACGATTCACGACTTGCCACCTATCCCACGCCCACAAACACGGAAAAAAAAAAACGCACGCCACACCATGGAAGCGCTGGGCAAACCCACACAATCCGTAGCAGACAAGCAGACGCTGCTGTGGCACATCAGTTCTGTCACACCATGCAAAAATCAATGTCCCACACACAATGTTGCCATTTTAATTCTTACAAACGAGATGAGCATTTGGAGGCAAGCTATGAAATTCGTTTGAAAAGAATGTGCAAAACTTCACGTCTGCAATTTGGCATAAATGGCACAAACATGCAAATGAACATACCCACCTAATTTCATTGAGATCCATTGACCTAAAAAAATCGCCAGAGTTGGCCTTTAAATTTAAAGCACAAGAAGCTTACCGCGGCAGCCGCATTTTTGATGGAGACGAAAATGCTTGAGGATCACGTACTCAGATTAAGGTGGACGTTAAAGAACACCAGATGGTCAAAATTTTTGAATTGCTGTTGGGACATAAAATTGTTGTTGGGACATTTTTAATTGCTGGGGACATAAAACCCTAATAATTAATTAGCAATAAAAAGCTTACTAGTCATATCGTGGTAATGCAGAAAGTGGCAAAGATTTTTTTATTCTCTATTTGCATGAGGATGAAGTTATATGCTTGAACCACGCCTGAAACAGTGGCAGATGAGCTTCATTATATGCCAGCATCAACGAGAAATCATAGATGGCAATAGTGCCGTTTGTTCATATCACACAGGCACCCATTTAGGACTGAGCAAGCCTGTGAATCGTAAGTACCAAGCTCATACAAAAACGCTCAATTTTGCTATTATATTATAAGTAATAGCACCGGTCTTCTATGGGTCTGCCATACTCCTCGGTTTTGAAGCAGCTACATTTGACAGAATGAACTTTTTTGACACCTCATCAAACACATAAGATAAATGCCTCCCATGAATCCCAAGCAAGTGCCCCCCCCTCCTTTAACAACTCCAAATCAGCGCCGAAGCAGGGAGAGAGTGCTTTCCCGGAACGATTCCAAAATTCAAGCGGCAGCAAAGTCTTCCTACCAAAGAAAACTGCTTTGCACATAAGACTTTTTCATAAGTAAATGGCTTCCCAAGAACAGTGCGGAAGCTTGAAATTGGCAAGGAAATTAGAGGGAGCACTTGCTCAGAACTTTATGGTATATTGACATAAAGATGCAATGTTAAGTACTACCAGGTATGGTGGACCTGAACTAAATAACAGACAACCACATATAATATTTTCAATGCCTCTATTGCACACTACTAGGCTTGAGCAGGATGGCATGACTTTTTTTTTTTAGACTATCTGTGGCAATTTAAAACAGTAATTCCTACTTAAATCCCGAATAATGTTATCACTTCTATAGCTACAATCAATGGTTACTTCATTTAATCATCTCATGACAATTTCTAGGTTGTAAGTCCTTGCAAACACCCATATCAAGAGACTAACATATAACACACAGCTTTTCCAGTGCAGTGGGTTCTTCCGCCAACACTGTTGTCAATTTTACCTTCCACAGGAACTTTTCTCTTTTGCCAGACAAGAAACTCGCACAAAGCAAGTACATCGGTGGTGTTCTTTACAATTAGAACAGTTCCCAGAGCATGCTTGCAAAATAACAAGCACTGTTTTGCCACAAAGTTTTTTTTTAAAATGACACAGTCCTAAAATTACAGAATGTACGCAAGTTTGTAAAATCATAGTAAATTCAGCAATGCTGGCAGATATGCTGCACTGCTTTTCAGATGCCCAATGACTGCAGAGCTACATTGTTGCAGCACCTCAATGTTGTGCTTAGTTATGGACAAAAAGTGCTATATTCCATAGAACAGTGAACATGAACTGTAAAATAATAATTAGATATATATGTGGGATGAAATACTGGGCAAGTTATTGCAAATTCATCATAGCTAGCAGTGCAATTAACACAGAAGACAATGAGAAATGTATACTGCACAGCACTGTCTTTCAACTTTTTACACAAGAAAGACAGTACTATGCAGTTGGTGTCAACTTCTTTGTCCACGTTAATCGCACTGCTAACCATGGTGATTAAACATATGCTTCTTTGGCAATACAAAATTCTAGTTAGAAAAATATTAAGCATTTTGATTAACATTATTTCAATAAAGCATCCAAAATGACGACATAGGCATTCTGACAAGCACTGCTATTAACCAATTGATGGAGCTACCATGACTGCTTTTTTTTTTACTGCAGTTACAACAAAGTTCAAAGCAGCACAGCAAATGAGGCAATAAAACCTACCTGAAAAGATGGTGGCAAGACAATTTTGCAGATGCCAAACTTTTCTGCTTCTGGTCTTATCTTAGTAATATAGCTAATAGGATCCCGCATTTCCTCTGTTGTGGGCCTGTATGTAGGTGCAGCGACAAGGCACGCTGGGTCACTCACACTTGGAAACTTTTTGCTGTCCAAAGGTGTCAGTTTGACTCTCCTGGTATCCTCTGAGCCAACTTTGCCTCTCTTTGAAGTCCCGGCCTTGGTAAATGTGAAAGCCATTTTGGGTGAACAAGACTTTGAAGCCCTTGCATTGCTCACTCTTGGATCAACACTTGTACCACTTCCTTTCACACTGCTTGTACTCAAATTACTTGCCTTGGTATCACTAGCCCTGGCATCACTCATAGCATCTGCACTCATGACACTAGTCTTGGCAACACTGGTCCTAGGAACACTGGCTCTTACAGTTCTTACTGCTGCAACACTCGACTTTGCTACCCTTGGTCTTCCAGCACTAGCCTTTACAACACTGGCATTTTCGGAACTTGTCCTTGCAGCACTTGCCTTCATAACACTTGCCTTTGCAGCACTTGCTTTCGTAATGCTTGTCCTAGCAACACTTGCCCTTGATCCAAGTGTTGGATTGAGTGAGCCATGCCTTTGCATTGGTGTAACAACAACCGCAACTTTGGCAGCACCTGATACATGACGCCCTTTTGTTTCTGTAACAGCTTTTGCTACTCCAAACTTGGAACTGGATGTATGGGTAGATAAGGAAGTATGTAATTGCATAGAACTGGCCCTCGAACCAATTTCCGAAGTTGGGTCCACACTTGTGCGGTCTGCCCTTGTATCGAGCTTTGTTGAGCAATCTTGAACCAGTGCAAGATGTTGTGATGGTGATGATGTAGGTTTCGATTTCGGTGATGCAGGCAATAACTTCTGCATTTCAGAGCTGAACTCAAGAGCTGCCGCACCATTGGTCTCTGAAGCAATAAAAGAAAGCCTCCTTGCAGTTGGTGCGACCGTTAGAAACCCTTCTTTGTTCAGCACATCCGCGTCAAAGATGCCAGTCTGTGTACTAACAGAAACTTCCTCTGGCATCACGACGAGTTCCTCAGGGGTTGAGGGTGCACATAAAGCCATTCCTTCTTCACTTGTGTTTGTCGACGCATCAATTTTAGATGGTGTATCATCTCGTTTTAGAAGGTTCAAGCCTCCTTCGAAAGATGCTGACCGACCATCTTGGGTGCTTAGAAGCATGGCACCAGTAACATTTTCATCGAAAGCACCGGAGAACTCACTTGTCATTAAACTCTGAATTTCCTGTGCACTGCCAAAACTCAAGCGACACGACATAACTTGGGAGATTTCACCAGCAAGGGCATCTAAGGCTTCCACACCTCCTGACATTGATTCAAGATCATCAAAGTGTGCTTGAGTATCAAGAGGGTCTCCAGCAGCGTCTGCAATAGTTTCAGAAAGTGATGATGGCGATGGCTCCGAAAAACGCTCAGATGACAGGCTAGTCTTGAGCAATTTCGACTTGTCAGCTTCAGAGGGTTTACTTTTGTTTTTAGCTGGTGCTGGTTTTCTGCGTGAAAGCATACCAGACGGTGGCAAGGATGAAACACCGCATTTTTTAGCAGAATCAGATTTGATCTGTAGTGGATCAGAATCATTTTCTTTTACTTTATCTCGTAACCCAGCTTTCTTTTCTGTATGGCGTCGAGCCATTTTAATAAGAGGTTCATCATCACTGTCGGAAAACACACGATTAGATAAAGCGATACTAGTGCTGCCTTCTGTTCTACGTCTCTTTGCAACAGTAGCTTTCTGTGCTTCTTCAGAAATTCCAACGGAGCTTTACGATTTTGACGTGGATATTGCGCAGAAGAAATGTCATTCCTCTGTCTCAAACGTCGTGTATCCTTCACACTCTCGCTCGATGGCCTACGTGATGATCGTTTTGCTACACTATCACTGGGCCTGAGTAACATGCCCTTTTTGGTCTCCCGGTGCACTGCTGTTGCACTCGCTCGTGACGAGGCTGGCAACAACTCACAGCCCTTGGTCAAAGAAGCTTTGATTTAGAAGCGTTTGCAGCAAGCTCATCCATTTTCTTCTTCATTGCAGTAGTGCCTGAACGACCTGCTCCACGTTTTGTTGGTAGAGCCAGAACAAGAGGATACTCCTTCACAGGACCAAGGCTCCGTGTTTTCCGTCTGAACATTGCACACCTGGTAGCCTTGCGAACTTTCAATGATGGCCTCATACTTGTTGTGGCACGACTAAGCAGCCTCCTCGCAATAAGTGAGGTAGTTGGCTTTTTCTTAGTTATTGGTGCTGAAGTATCAACTTTGGCCTTTGGCTTCTGTGGTGCATTGAGAGTCTTACTTCCTGCAGCTCGTGGCCTTGGCTGAACAGCGATAACAGAGGACCTTGGAGGAAACAATGGGGACATGTCTTTTTCACTTTCAGATTCATAGTCCACAATTGGTGGAACCATTTTGGCTTTGCGTAAATGTGGTGTAATCCCAACTGAGTGTCTACGTGTCATGACACCAGCTGTCATATTTGTCACAAAGGGATATCGTAAGCCAGCTGCAACACGTGGGTGAAGACGTGTCAGCTGAACACTCAGCTGCTTTTTTAGCACTAATCGGCTCTTGGCAGCCATATCTTCATCTTTAGATAGTATAGGGTGTCGACTTGATGGCGCACTGGTTGGCTGTTCCCTCAGCTTCACGCATGAATTTTTTACTGCCCCCTTTGAAGTCAAGTGAGAGGCTTCATGGCTGGCTTGTGATCTGAGAGCATGACCACCTCCAAGACCCAAAGCCGAAGGCTTTCTACATGATGCAGACTGGTGCTTGATCCTCTGCTGTTTGTACTTTTCTTGAAGTGCTGTCAAGTTTCCACTTGATTTTCTATGACTTCTTGATGTGCTGCCAGTTTTATACACATTCTTCAATTTTTCAGATGCAGCCTTCTTTTTGTCTACTTTCTGAAAATGGACAATACAAATTGTATAAGCATGCTTCCACATATGAAAATTAATGCTTTGTTGGTATCAGTCTTGTTAGGTATCACGTTCATGTTAAAATAAATGTACACACACCGACCAAAAGTTTGTTGTCAGGAAGTTTAGGCAGTTTTCCTTCTGTACAAAATAATTATTCACAAAACACTTTCTGCTTCATATGTCAAGCTTCACACGCTTTGTATTTAACACAAGCTTCCGGTGTACAGTCTAGGTGGAAGAGTTCCATTGCTTTAATTCAGGTCTTCCCCCCTCCCCCCCTCCTCATAGCCTGAATACAAAGCCATTTTTATCTTCCTTGTTTTGCACCTCTCATACGTATAAACAGCTTAACCTTTGCAGTAAATTACTGGCCCCTGTTGAACTATGCAACACGGCCGCAGCAGTCTGTGGTTGGGCACTGCTTGAGAAGTTCTTTGGTGTTTGATTCACACGTGCATTTTCTCACTGCATTATGCACCGCATCTAAAAGAGCCAGCTAACATGTTTTTTTTCAGCTTTGCTTTCATTATTTCGGACCAGAACGAATAGACAGAGAACAAAGGTTTCAAACCAATGGGAGTGAACAATAATTTGGTGGTTGGCATCTTTATTTATTTTGACATAACCTCAACTATCAATTTTTAAGAAATTGTTACTGTAGATTAAAATCAGAACAAAAGAAAAAGTGATTTGCAAAAATTTTTTTACACAGTCAAACGCAATTATAACAAAGTAGCAATGGGACCATAAATTATTTTGTTGCATCCAATTTGTTCAAGCAGCAGGGATGAAAATTGGTTTAATATGGCTCGCACAAAAATCCTAGACACTGAAATGCCTTATTCAAGCCTTCAAACCATTAGCTATGCTTTTTCAGACACTGCCATAGAACGGACACCAATAGAAATTAGCATTTTGCTGCACCTTCTTTTCATTTCCACCACTCCAGTTGAGGTTATAAAAATCATAATTTCCATTCGTATGCACATATCAGAGGCAACAATATCTTTAGAAATGAAATTAAGTGATTATCTCAAGCAATTGCACAAACCAGTCATTATACTAAAATTTGATGTTGCATTTGAATTTGCGAGTACTGCCCCCACTTGCTACACCTGCCACTGTTCACATGCTATGCCATGCAAAGTGCATTTGCTGAAACAACACATATGCGTAGGCTGCCTAAAGGTGACTCTCTTGTACTGAATGTATGAAATCTAATATTGAATGGGCCCTGCAACACTTTAACATAGTCATAAAACAGTGGTGATCGTTAGACTAGGCTCCTGCGAACATTTTAGCAAAACATTATAGCGCAGCATGTGGCAGGAAATTACGTTTCCAAGTCACCTAGCATTAAGGCACTCTTGACAAATTATCCCACAGACTGGCCCAACTATGACACAGGTAGAAGGACACCGCCATTAGCTGATCTGAACATTCAAATGCTGCATGGTTACTACACAGGCCACATACTTGCGCAGCCTTCAGCAGTATCAGTATTACACTCTATAGAATTATACTAGCACCTTACACAAGTAAGCTTGTGTCTGAAGTGATACTAAACAGAAATATAAAAAAATGGCGAAAACATCAAACTTCTAATCAAAAGATACGGCTTTTACAATAAGCAGAGTTCATTTCACATATTTTTAAACAACTGGCTGTATTTTCGGGACATTGTCATAGTACGGCGGCGCCACGCCAGCGCGAGCTGCGACATCAAAGCCATCATGGCGGATGCAGCGGGAATGTTTGTGCCGTCGTGCTACTTTGCTTTATCTAACTCGCCTTTACTTCCCACTCTCCCTCTTTCAGTAAATGCTGAGACATGCCCCCCCCCCCCCCCCCTATGAAATTTACACTACCCGGGTGCATTGTCCACTGCTGGTGCCATTCACGGTAATTTCAGGAGCCGTGGTGGAAGCTGAGCAAGTTCACAGACATGGGCGATGGCTGGCATTGTTGGAATGCCCCTTTCCAGTGATGTTATCTTCATTCCCTCTACCTAGTTTACGGTGCAGTTGCTAGGTCAAGCAGTTTGTGAAAAACGCACCAAATTCATTATTTTTTACCAATTTCTGTATGAAGTCAAATTTGTGTCCATCGATATCAGCACCATATCTCGTAGTTTGGCTAAAAATCTCGGTGGCGAAAATTTTGTTCAGTAAAATGTCCAAGGTCACGGCGTGCACTACTGCGGCTTACTTTATAATCCACCTGCATAACTTTCAGCACACTCATTGTTACAAAATGACATGGACTGCACTTGAAGCATGTAACAGATCTCTGTAGCTCTTCCTTCACATATTTTACAGATTCAAAAAAGTTTGCAGCAAGCAATTTGTGAAGCAATAAACTAGGACAGTGACATAATTAGGTGATTGCCTCAAAAAGTGTTGCAAGACTCCTTTAAAGACGTCTTGAAACACTTTTTCAAGTAAGCATGGAATGCATTCACTACAAGAACTTATTGCCTCACGAATTCAACGCTGCAAAAGTTTTAAGAATCCGTCTAGTACGAGCGAAGTTACAAAGATTTGTTACATGCTGCAAATCGATTCTCTCTTCTCTCATCCCAACAAAAGCGCTGGAAGCTAAACAGCAATGGATGACAGGGGCAAAAAAAAAAAAAAAAGTACGTCACGCACACCTCGAGACCTTGAACACTGTTTTCGTGTTTTTTTTCCCTTCGAATAGGCGGCTTTTTTAGTGTGATCACGCGTACTCGTGTGGCCAAGTGCCGGCCTTGTGCGGCGATTACTGTAACGACCCAGCGCGCCATGTTCAAATCAGCTAATGGCTGATAGATGGCCTTTCTACAAGTGATTTTTGAGCGTCTTCCGCCATTTGTCGAGAGAAGAGAAAACATATTTTAGCTGACTTTGACAATTTATTGTGAGTTCTAGGCCGCATGCTGCACTATAATATTCAGCTCGCCTGTTCTCGTGAGCCCCTACTACCGATCGGCAGCATTTTCTGACCATGCTCGAAAAGTATTGCAGGGCCCCTTTAAAATGTCGGTCACAAGGTGAAATACAGAAATGGGTGCATCTAGTACCCTTGCATTCAGTGATTTCATGCAGAATGTAATGAATGTAAGGCTGAACTGCCCTTTATTTTGTTCTCTCTTGAAAGGGTGGTGCCATCAAATTTGTGGCTGACAATTTCCATGTTACAAATGTTTTTTAGTGCTCTAGGCAGCATGATACACACTCCAAGATTCATATATTATTCCTAAATAATTTTATATCACCTTATTCATATGAACTACTTTCAGTTTCGGTTTCTCAGAGCTAAATTGAACAGTGTTGTCACTGTGTAGGAAGCTTGAACATGTGGGCCCACAAAGGCGTAAAGCATGCAGTGCTGCATCCTCTGCTCTCACACAGTCGAGCAAACGATTGCATGCATTCAAAACTCGCTGAAATTACCATAATAGAGAATATTAGTGCGTACGAAATTCAAGTATACACAAAGGTCTTCGGGAGTACCAGGTTATGAATCGATGGTAACATCTTGTGATGCTTCATGCAACGCGTTTCTTTGTTTTTGCTGAGTGATCGTGGAGAAAAATGTTTCTAAAGACAATGCATTCAGAACATTATTGCTGAGAAGTTACACCACCTGAGGTGTAGAATACATCTGATTTATGCAACAGCAATTCTGTGCTTGCCTAGTTCAACTTAATGCAAACCAGTGGCTCCCCTTACGCAATCTCCCGTTAACTGCTACGGCAACCAGGCATGCTAAAGCAAAGAAGTGTGTGAACAAATTAAAGTTCTCTAAAGTTGCCTTCGAAAGTTCAGGCGACTATTTAAAGTAACCGATGCTCTCTCGGTTTGCCTGGGGCAGCAGAGTTGCACCACTGATTGCATGTCACGCTAATATGGTATGGCATTTCTAAACTTTCACTTTATTTCCTACAAAGTGAAGCTGATGTCAGTTGCATTAGCGTTTGGTCTCGATCATGAGAATGAGAATTTAGGCACACCTTGTAAACAAATTAAAATATATTCCAAGCGTTTGCTGTGTCTAACAGTTTGACAGATTTTGTGGGGTTTAACGTCTCAAAACCACTATTTGATTATGAGAGACGCCGTAGTGGAGGGCTCCGGAAATTTTGACCACCTGGGGTTCTTTAACGTGCACCCAAATCTGAGTACACGGGCCTACAACATTTCCGCCTCCATCGGAAATGCAGCCGCCACAGCCGGGATTTGATCCCGTGACCTGCAGGTCAGCAGCCGAGTACCTTAGCCACTAGACCACCGTGGCGGGGCGTGTCTAACAGTTTATGCTAAGTGTCCTTGCATACAGAACAAGTCCATTGCAGGCTTTTTAAAGCCCCAAACTTGGTGGCACCATCTCTCTAAGACATAAAAGGACAAAGTAGTTGTAGTGCACAATGAACAAGTAATTTTTCACTGACAGTTCTGAAACAATCCTTATTTTGTATTGCTTCATGGACAGGTACAATAAAACGCACAGTTTACGGGGCCCGACATAGTGGTTGACGCCTTTAGAGTCACCCGAGTGCATTGGTGAATTGCCGAGAGGCCTAATGCATCTTCCGAAATGCACTAGCTAAGGGGTCTCCTGCCACCATTGGCAGTTCCAAAAGCCCCAGTTGCCATGCAGGCCAGGTATTGCACTTTTGTCATCAAGCAGCACTGTACAGTGACAAGTGTCATCACTAAAGGCCGGATTTATAGGCACTAAAAACTGCGTTTCAGGCGCCAAAAATAGGAGGGCAAAACACTGTTTTAGGCTCCCATAATTATGAATATAGACACAATAAACTTTGACAAAATTTAAATTTTCGAAGAAATACGTGTGGGATCTGGGTCTATGACAGGAAAGCAAACAGAAATGTGATGGTACAAATGTGCTGATGGTTTAGCATAGCCATTCATTTTTTTCCCTACAGGGTTCACACAATACGGCCTTCCATTTCTAATTTCTAGTCCACAATGGTGAGTTAAGTGTCCAACTCCGAATAAACATGCTCCTGGGTATCTGTCTTTTTGACATGACTGAGAAGGACTACACAGGTGCAAATAATCAGAGCACAATAAGCCAGAAGGGTCTTTTTACCTCTTATTAACTTGGTCTAACCACAAAGGCTCAATTTTTCTTCTGTCTGTGAACACCTTAAAGGGCCCTCACGCAGGTTTGAGAATTTGTAGAAGCCAAGAGAAATGCATGCACTAGGCGCTCATCATCACATCTGCCAAGATTTGCAGTTCTACGCGCACCATCGAGGTGAAATGTAAGATTGCACACCACTTCATCTCACGGGCGTGCGCCCCGACATGGTGGAGGTGATGTATACAACAAGGATCCTGCGTACGTCAATGTGTGCGTACGTCAATGAGAAACGGCGAGAACAATTCAAGATGACATGTGTAATTTGTGCAATCTGTTCCCTGAATAGAAGTATGAAGGCTCACAAATATTAAAATATACAGACAGAATCTATGCACATTATTTTTTTTTAAGTTCGTATCGAGTGAGATGCGAGACTAAGCTGCCTCCATTTCATTTGCATTATGTTCTCACCATTCCCATATCATGCCGGTGCTAGCATTCACAACACTTGGCTTGTTTTTGGTGCACTGTCCCTTAGAGGAGTTATAGCAGTGCGATGCTGTGTATTATGGTAAGGATACTTGATCCGCCAGCCTTTCCAAATGTGCGCGCATAGAGGGATCCATCTCACAAAAGCAGGCAGTACAACACAGAAAATGTTGAAACAACACAACACCGTTTGCGTGCACGGCCTGGCATGGGCATGTCATGCGAAAGTAACCTTACGCAAGCATGACGTGCTGATGCGTCCGCGTCGTGTAATCCTCCAGCTCAGAGTTGCTCCGATACCAAATAGGGCAGGGAAGGAATTTGGCTTGCGAAGTCCACATCGAGTGAGGGGCAAAGGTTTCACACTCACCTCCTCACATCATGCTTTCACAGAGTTAATGAACCAATTAAATAATTCTAGCGATACACAGCTTTCAATTAGGCACGTAACTACTTCCACTGTCTAAGTGAAATTTCTTATGTCACCTAGTGAAGTGCCATTTAAGAAGTTAATGATAAATAAAACAAAACCCACATGAATATCATTTTTTTTAATCTACACTTGACCTTCCCCTGATTGCACTCCACGGTTTCACATTCGTTCTTGATCGTCCTGCCACAGCACAGAAGCATCTCCTGCTCCCTACGCAAGTGAGCAGACACTGGAGAGATGCCGAGTAGATGACACGACGCAGATGAATACTTGTGTAGAGACTAGTGGGCCTTACTATCGGCTAAGAGGCCTTGTAGGATTGACAGTGCTCAAAGTAACTTATGAGATAGAGTATAGATACCATCCCATAGTGTTCCAAAAGCTCAATTTTGCGGGTAACATGAATACCAGGCTTTAGCGGCACTTGAAAGCAAAATTTGAGGTTTAATAGCATTTATGTAGGCACCGATTTTTAAAACAGGCACTATAAAAGCACTCCAAATGCTCTTATGCTCTAATTTATGCCCGTATGTCAAAATGGCACGATAGGAACACAAGAAACAAAAGAGACATTAATCCTGTCTCTAGTCATCACCTTTACTATCGCAGACCGGCTGGCTCTATGCTCGATTCTTTGCTTTTCTTCCCCATTGTCGAGCCTCAGGGGTCGTCGCTCCTGTTTCAACACACGTGCAGAAGTGCGCTGTGCTTGACTGCGCAACTCCGCAGAAGCAGTGCCTCCATGTGCATTTCCACTGCCTCCCTTGTCTTTACTCTCAGCATTGGTTGAAGTCACTGGAGCATCAAGGTCAGGACTGCTGCTTCGATCTGATGAGGACGATGAACCAGAAAAAGCTGTCCCACTCATGAAGTCGAGGGCAGGAGGAAGAGCACTTGAGCCTGAAATTTAGATAAGTGAGAACAACTTTACACAAAAGCGTAGAGAAGTATGTGTCAAAACATTTGTATGCAAGTACATACATGTTTGCAAGGAGTAGTCATAAGTACTTCATAAACAAAATAATTCAAGGCGCCAATGAAAATCTATGATAAAAAGTTATACCACAACAATTTTGCAAATAAAGAAAAGCTACAACCCCCCTTACATGGTATGCCTGAGCCTTGGTTTAACAATATTTACCATTATATTTCTTGTTTCTTTAGTTCTGTATGGAGCGAAACCTCATTAACTCACTGTGACATTCAAAACTTTTTCCTGGTGCTAATTCCATGTCTTACAGCCCTTATCTCAAAATGTTGTTGTGCTAGAGTATGATTATTTTGAATATATAAACTACAAGAACAGCACAAAAGCCACAACCTAAAGAGCTTCATTACTGCATGTACAGCAACAATGTCACCTAACTGTGAAAAAAATAAGAAAATTTTATAGAACCATGCATTATACTTAACTTGGTTAACTAACATTGAATATAATTACACGAAGTCTTTCATAATAGTACAAATTGCAAATGCAAGGTAAGGGACAAGAGGTACAAAGACACAACCCTAATACCTTGTGTCCTTTTGTGCTTGCATTTAGTACCACTGTGAATTACTTGTTCTAACTAACCCAAACTGCTACTCTCTACAAAGTCTACTTAAGTACACTTTGCACTCTCTCACAAATTTTACAAGAAAGCAGCAAGAATGCCATAGTGCCATTTTCTTGAAACTGTATCAAGTTCATTCCAAGCTGACAGGCGCTTACAAACATATCCGCAGCATGACAACAGGACATAAGCTGACATGCTACTCGACGATACAACTGCATGGCCATATGAGTAATTGCAACATTTGCGTCCCAGCAACGCCATCCTCAGTGTACCCTCTTTGTCACTCACCTCTCAGGCAAAGAAACGTAAGGAAGTCTTCTGTTTTTGGTCTTCGCTTGCAGGGCAGTAGTGTAGAAGGCTGGCTCACTGTTTCTTTTGAGTCGCGACATGGTGGCAAAAGCTTGACTGGCGTTGGCATGGGACTGTTCGGGTTCGAACCTTGAGCAAACTTGCGCTGAGCATGTACCTTTATCCTGCAGATGACACAAAATTAACCTCTACTTCAAAAATGGTGTGTTATCTATCTGAGGCTTAAAGGGTCCCTGAAGCAGTTTTTTGACACTGTAAATGTTTAAGCTATATCATCATCAAATAAATTGCAGCATAGATTAAGCAACACACTTTATATTAAGGCAGCTATGGGCAATTTTACATGCAACCTCACATCTCAGCTCTGCCTTTCCTGCTTAACTTGTTGAATGCACAAGTGTCACTGGCGACAATAGTGCACTCAACATATCGAGCCAGAGCCTCCAAGTTAAACTTTGGTAGCGCACCGTTGGGCAGTGAGGATTAAGCAGATTACGGTGTGGCTGACAGAGGTTGGAACACTACCAACCATTTTTATTTTATTCTCTTGTACACCAACCATCAGCCAAAGCCAAATATGAGGCCAAACAAAAGTATTTTAAAACAATCACCAATGCACATAAACATAAAATTGTGGTTGTGTTTTCAGGGCCGAAGGTACAGCCACAGACACAGGAGCTCTGGCGTTGATTGGACAGTGAGAGCGCGATGATTACTGCATTGATGAGTTGAAGTGACTCTGCTTGCTAGTTGCCTTACATCCATTAAACATCATAGCTTTGAAAATCACCAAATGCTAGATTTATAGCATACAATGCAGCAAAGGCCATTCATGGCGTCCAAGAAAAAAAAAAGCCTCGAGATAAAGTCTGTCACACAGCTTACAATAACACAAAGCATGCTGTAACACAGGCAGATGATGCTCGCTGTTCACCGGAGGTTCAGTGACGTAGACTAGACATATACAAGATCGACTGCCAGTGCTACATGTAATAGAATAATGCTAGGCAGAATGGAAGCGGAACATTGAAAACTCGTTCGGCTGCACTGTTGTGTTATGTAGCTATTAGCATATTTAAGGTACTGTAATAAATTATGCACTAGACATTAAAAGCTTAAATCAGTCAGCAAATTATCCCTAGAACTCGCCTTAACTGGCTCAATCTGTTCATACAAAATAGTCAAAACTGCTTCAGGGTGCAATTAAAATTCATGACGACTTTTTTATCAGTATAAGCAAGCAAAGTCAATTACTGCCAAATTTTTGTCCATCACTAGATAAACCCATATTCCACTTACACCTGTATGCTTGCAAATCCTCAAGTGTGGCACAATCAGTGGTCACCATGCAGAACAAGTAGAACTGAAAGAACTGGAGCAGCACCAGTGCCTCTTACCAGTAAAATTATCAATGCTATTCTGAGACACACACATACAATACACACACACACACAGTAAAAGCAAGGAAAAACATAGCCCTTTATAATTATGCTGTCCAGAAACTGGTACTTTCTCTGAAGCTAAAGATGACAGCAACATGGCTTCATAACACTTGCCTTTTAGAATCTATGTCGGCTGCCTTTTTTGTAACAACAGTGGTTGTGGAAGTTTTTGGCGTCTGCTCCCGGCTATCTTCTGACGTATTCTCATCCAGTAACCGAGCTTTTTTCGTTTCATTGAGTGAAGCGTACAGTGCCTTTTTTAGCTGCTTCTCCTCCATCCAGTGAAGACCATTGCTACAACCCTGAGGACAAAAATAAGGCATTAATTTTACCTTTAGAAATTGAGGGAGGAACATGTGAGAAATAGCATAAGACCTCCCCCACCCCCAAGGGGCATAAAGCTTCATATTCAGTCATTCTCAAAATAAACTTTTTTTAAGCAACAATAAGATAGTATACCTCCCAACATCAAGCAAAGCATTCATTCAAGCATAACTTTAACAATACACATGCTTGACCATGTCACTTGCAAGTCATCCTGGTCAAGGCACACAAGGTGTGGCACAGTAGAAGCAGTTGGGGAAATGTTTTGCCAGTGTATGATGCGAACAAGCAGATAAACTATGTTTGATAAGCTCACAAAGCATAAGATACTATATCAACAGCCACTATTTCTCACTCACATTTTAAGCAACCAGCCACAGGTGCACACTACTCACAACCACCAGCACTTTTGCTTCACAATGAAATCACCATTAAGATTGTCTCACCTTATCTCAAGGTTAAAACAATTGAGTTTAATGACCTTTTTAAAATGGAATAAACGTTGAAAGGCATTTCAGAATATGCAACCACACTTTTCCTCTGTCGCACACATTTAAGAGCTATTCTCAATGTGTTCATGTAATGGACATGCTCGTTTCGGCATTCCATGCTTGAAATTCAAGCGGAAAGCTGTGATGTCATCACCCCCTTGATGTTGTGAGTAAGAGTTCATAGGAAGAAGAAAGACGACAAGTAGCAGAAAAAAATTGAAACTGCACGAGTGCGCACACCGTAACGTGAAGGACGAGGCGCATGACACAAGCTGTGATCAGGACGCAAGCAACGATGCTCTGACATAGTCGACGTGGGCTTGCAAGGAGAAGGTTTTCTCGCCAATAAGTGCCCTGGCGACGGGAGTGGCAGGTCATCGAAACGGTAGCCTGTGACGCGGGCATCCAAGTAGCCGGAGACATCGACCTGGTCTGAGTGCAGCCTCTGGATGCAGCAACTACACGCAGCCATCGCCAAAATTCCTGAAAAAGTCTCCTTCGAACATAGGCGTACCAGCCGGGGGGGGGGGGGGGGGCAAGGGGGGCACGAGCCTCCTTGCAGAGAAAAGTTAAGGGGGCTGAGTCCCCCCACTTTCAACAGTGCTCACTGTTGGCTGCACGCTGAAAAAGCAACAATTAGGGCGAAATTTTCCTTCCCCACTGCCTTGACAACAGACCTTTGTCAGAACAATCAGTGCTTGAAAGGCGGTATGATCTGTCTTCGCACAGAAAATCAGTGAAGGCCTTATTGAACTTTTTGTGTGGTAGTAGCCTATTGTATAAGCTACAGCACCCCAGCTCACATTTTTTTAATTTTTTGCATGTCTATTTCGCTCTTCGCTTTGCAGTCTTTCTTCCCCCTTCCCCCTGCCTTAGTCCAGGGTAGCAAACCTGATGCTCCAATTTCTGGTTAACCTCCCCTTCTTTCCCTCATCTTATTTTCTCTCTACAAGAGAATATTACAATATAATGAAATTTCTTCAACATTTTTGCTGTGACGATTTTCCTTATAGGCTATTCGCGGTGCGGGTCGCCTATGTGGCGCTTTTGCACCTTGTGCTGTAGCATGGCAGAGCAGGCCAGCACTGAACAGGGGCCCAATAACATTGCATAACTTGTACACGCTTTCGTTCTGCTGTGACTGGCTGATGCAGTTATGGATGCGAACGAGCCAACTTTTTATGGACTGGTCAAATCATCTGCTGCTTCAGGAAAATTATTTCCTTTGATTGAAAATGAATATTATCACCGCTGCTTTGTCGAAGCTGCTGTGAGCTGATGAATGTTACGAATCTTCTTTAATGTTTTAGTGTTATCTGGAAGCGCGAAAAAAGGGTCCGCTTTAGTCTCCGATAAACCTGATCAGCCTTGCTTATGGTAACTTGGAGCGATAGTGGCAGCTTGCAAAGTGGCGAGCTCAGCTTTTCAGCTTGTCCCTTAACCTGACCCACCTGACCAAGGGGAAGGTGAAAGACTATGGTTTTTAGCACTATATAGGCTTAATTGAGAGACGGGCTAGTAGGTTTTCATTAAACTTGAACTGTCTTTTGCAGCTCAAAGTACATCGTGGACAGCAAAGAAGCACACACGTGTTGCACTGCTTATTTCTCTCTCTTCCTCTCTCTCTCTCTCTCAACAAGGACGAGCTCAGAGATGCGTGCACTCACAAACTAATAAACGCCATGATGCTGCAAGTGAAAATATTTTATTCTACTCATATTGCTCATCTCGTCAGCTGCTATAAGCAGCCGCTGATAATGTGACCAGCGGCTAGTCTACTTGAATATTATTTAAAAGAAGATGCTCTCCAACTACCCCAAATACCCCAAAAAGCTTTAGGTATTGTTCAGCACGTGAATGCCCTGTTTAATATGTATGCATTGTAATGAACACCATGACATTCCACAGATTCGTGACGTCATGTATAAAGCAGGTGATTTTATGGCACACAGACAATTTTAAATGCCGAAGAACCAATGGCAAACAATGTGCCTTATAGAAAATAGTTGACTTGCTTATTATTACGTGGTCGTTTATAAGTGGTGTGTGTGTGTGTGTGCGCGCGTGCGTGCGTGTGAGGAACTATACAACGTTGTGGTGGAATAGTAGAGAAGGAGGAAGACGAAGACAAATAAATGGTTCATCGTATAGCCATCACGTCTCCTGCGTCACACTAGTCGACGGGATCTACCATCCCCTTCATCATGGCGACATGCAAGAAACTCATCAACATCCCGAAGTACTCGGGAGCATCTACGGATGTCCCCTTCGCCAAGTGGTTCCGGCTCTTTGAGGCGAGGACTGCGGCCGCAGCATGGACGGAGCGAGACAAGCTGTGCTACTTCTCCGATTACCTTGAAGGTGAGGCTTTCCGATGGTTTCTCACCGAGGTTTTCGACACTGATGTGTCTTGGGAAAGCTTACCTGAACGCATGAAGGAACGCTTTACGAGCAGCGTCACAGATCCTTTTCGCCAATTCATTCATTGCCGGTTGAGAACAGGCCAGAGCTTGAAGGAAAACTATAATGAAAAAATGTCGCTCGGGTGCCTCGCTGACCTAAAGGACGCGCACCTTATATCAGGGCTCATCGACGGCCTTCCTGCGCATATGGAAATGGCGCTTGCTGGGCTTACCTCATCTACACCAGCGGCATGGCTTACAGCTGCACTTCGTGTAGAGTCAACCATGCAGAGAGTGAAGTTACATTGCCTTCCACCAGCTCAGAATACACAAATTGACGTAACAAGTGACAACACTAGTCAGTGTCCACGTAATACCGCGGTACCAACACCCGTGCGCGAGTGCAAACACTGCGCGATGGATGGTTTACCCCGACAGATGCACTGGCATAATGAATGCCCACGATGTGCAAGCATTTCCGCCCTCTCCACCAACGATGAA